GCAAAGCAAACACTCTGAAATACTGAATGTCAGAGGTGACACACATTGGGGATAAATTCAGACCCATCTCAGGTTGGCACTTCGTACTCTGTGCCCTTCAGGGACGGGAGTTCCAATCCTGGCTCTGCTTGGGCTCGAGGCTGGACGGTGGGTGACCTGCCATTTCACATCATCATCTGTCATTGTTAGAAGGGACAGTGGCTCTGGCAAGAGGTGGGGTCTGGCCAGCCTGCATCTGCTGCTCCTGCCTCTGCAGCATGTCATGGTCACCCCGCAGCCCCTCCCAAGGCCAGCCTCCTCAGCCTGTCTCTGCCACCCCCAGGTGTCCGTGAGTTCACCTGCGAGACCTGCGGCAAGTCCTTCAAGAGGAAGAACCACCTGGAGGTGCACAGGCGCACGCACACCGGGGAGACCCCGCTGCAGTGAGTGCCAGGCTGGGACTGGGAGGGAAGGGACTGAGGAGGGCCCCGCCTCTGACCTCGCCATGCCGCCGGCTCCTGGTTCCTGCAGGTGCGAGATCTGCGGCTACCAGTGCCGGCAGCGGGCGTCGCTCAACTGGCACATGAAGAAGCACACAGCTGAGGTGCAGTACAACTTCACGTGTGAGCGCTGCGGGAAGCGCTTCGAGAAGCTGGACAGCGTCAAGTTCCACACGCTCAAAAGCCACCCAGACCACAAGCCCACCTGACCCACAGGACCGCTGACCGTCACCCCTAATTTATTTGTCCACCCGGACACCATGCCTGGGACCCTCGGGGGGCCACCTGGACCGAAGCTGGAAGGAGGTGGCCTCGCCCCGCCCATGGCCAGCACCCCTGGGCAGCTCCCCCACCCTGCCCTGTTCACCTTGGAGCTGGCGCTTGGGCCGCGCTGTTGGAACTGTGTGGAGAGAGCAGAGCAAGATTAAAGCGGGAGGAAGGAGCAGCCCTTCCCTGAGGCCTGGTTGATTGGGAGACCGGCGGGGCCCCTGTCTCAACCCCACATGCCACATGGGACTCTGTCCTGAGGGTCCCTGGGCCTAGCAAAGCCCGGCACAGCTGCTGCTCCCCCGGGGCTGGGGGTGGGGGACCCAGGAGGCCACCAGGACTCTCCATGACTCAGATCCTGGTGCCTACTCCTCGTGTCATGGAACATTCATTCCCCACCCTCAGCTCCCGGAGGAGTTGGGGAGATGCTCAGAAAACCCCCAAATGAGACATCCCCAGCTAGCGCCAAGGAGTGACGCCTCGGTTTCCAGGATTACCATTTAGGAGGACCTCCCTGAGAAGGTGGCATTTGTGTATAGGCCAAAATGACACAGCTGGGAGAAGCAAGTCTCAGGCCGAAGGAGTAGTCAGGATGGAGCCCCGAACTCGTGGGCTCCATGCGTTCCTAGATCAGGAAGCCGCGGGGGAGGGGGCTTGGCAGCTACCTTGGCCCCATTTCCCGGAGGATGCGGAGGCCGCCGCTTCCCGCGGCCACCAGGGACAGCGCTGGGGATGAGGTGGCTGCCGCTAGGTGGCGCTCGCACTGCGCAGGCCCGAGTGGCTGCACCCACGTGACCTAGGGCGCAGCAGCCGCGAGCCGGGGCACGTGCCCTGGGGGAACCCAGCGGCGCCGCGCGCAGACCGGCCTCCGCCGGGCTTCAGCTAAACGTCGGGGCCGGAAGAACCTGCGAGGATACGCGAGTCCGGCCGCCCCCGCGCGTCCCCTTTCCCCCAAGCTGGTCCCATTCTCCCAGCGCAGCCGGAGCTGGCAGTTTCCATGGGAACCGCAGCGGGGTCTGGGCGCATGGAGTAGCCTCGCTCTCGGCGCCACTTCCGATCGGGACCGGAGAGGAACCCCGGGCGGGGAGCAGCCAAGTCGCCCTGGCAAGCCCAAGAGGGGCCACCCAGAAACCCGCACCGACACCGCCCGGCTCTCGCGGGCCGCCGTAATTGGCCTGCGCCCTCCCCCGGCGTGCCGGCACCCTTAGTGCGCGCGCTCTCATTGGCTGCATCTCCGGGGCATCTTCCAGCAATTGGGTTGCCCGAGGGCCATTCCTGATTGGCCAGACTGAGCTCTGCTCGCCCAAGGCACTCTGGAGCCTAAAGGGGCGTAGGAGAACGAGGACAGGGCAGGGGCTGCGTGTCCTTGGTTCGGGCGGCTGGGCTCCTGGTCCACACAGCCGCCCAATCGCTGTCTGTGGTGCTGAAGCGTCCTCGGACACCCCACCACCACCACCCCGTCCCAGGGAGCGCTTGTTCTTTCGTCTCGCTGACCCCCCGACGTAAACATCCACGTGTGTCCGAGCAGCAAAGGCTGCGCCAGCGCCGCTCTACCGAGGACCGTGAGGAGCGCAGGAAGCCGGGGCGCTTAGCTGGCAGGCCTGCCCACTGGAATGTTACGGGCCCCAAGGAAGCTCTGTGGAGCTGGGGTGCAGCTCAAGGGTAGAGCGATTGCTTGGCATGCTCGAGGCACCGGCTCACATCCCCAGCCCTGGAGGAGGAGCAGCGAGGAAGCGAGAGGGAGGCAGATTGGCGGCTGCAGGGCTCCACTGGGGATGAACTAAAATTTTCACAGCAGCGCGGCGTCCCCTGCCCAGGAGGGTACCAGCGCCCACCTTTTGAACCTCAGAGTCACTCAGCCCATCGCAAACCCACAGGTCCCAGCTTCCTTCCGCAGGCAGATTAGGGCCACCCTAACAACTCTCACCCGTTGTCCTGAGCGGCTACACCCGCCCCCCCAATCTGTGGACCCAGGGCTCTGCCTGTTGAAATCTTGGTTCCTTGTCCCCGGCTGGTCCTCTCGATGGACAGCAACTCCGAAAGGTGGTGCGCTTGGGCCGCTGATACCTCCCCTATCTCTTCTCCTTTCAGGATCTAGGTCCTGGGCGGAATAGGGGAGCCCACCCTGCCTCCCAGGCAGGAAGACTTCGGGGAGTGCCAAGGCCAGGAAGCACGGTCCTCGGGCCGGAGGGCCAGGATCTGGCAAGCCGAGCCTCAAGGATTCGCTTTATTTGGCGGTGCGGAGTCCAGGCATCCACCTGCCCCGCCGTCGGGCGCCGCGAGGGGGCGGGGCTCGCGTGCCTCCGCCAATCAGTGACGCCATCTTCGGCAGCTGCCTCTATAAAGGGCTGGGGGCGGCGGCGGCGCGGCCCAGAGCGCGGAGCGCGCAGCTCGGGCCGGAGGGAGGGAGGGAGGGCGGGCGTGGGGAGCGGACTGAGCACCCGGGACGGACAGGCCTGACCGAGGGGTGGAGGCAGGAGGCAGAGGCGCCGCTATCTCTGTCGGGAAGCGCAACCTCCCCGGGCCCCGCGGGGCCGCGCAGGGGGCGTCCTCCACCCCACACCCGCTCCCTCTCCCCATCCCCTGCCACTCGCAGGCCACCCCGGGGCCCGGCCATCCGCGAGCGCATCCTCGAGCTCGGACCTGTCCCTGGCCCTCGAAGGGGCCGCCGCTCTCCTCGCCGCCTCTGCAGCGGCCGCGCCAGAGGCTGCCCGGGCGGGACCCCGGCGTGAGCATCGGGCGCCCCCCTCGGAGTGCACGACCCCCGGAGCCGCCCTCAACACGGACCGCGCCCGCCGGGCACACGAGAATGGTCACTGTAGGTATTCCCCTGACGCCGAGAGAGATGGGGCGGGGAGGGGCTGGGTTCAGGCTCCACGGAGATGGGGGGGGTAGGACCAGGCCTAGCTAGGCCCGGTGATGGGGGGTAGGACCGCGCCTCGGGCCTGAGAGGGAGCAGGACCGCACCCTGAGTGCTAGGGGCACTGAGAGCCCGGGCTGGGAGGCCTCGGGGAGCTGGGCTGGATTGGGGGGGCGCCCTGGAGGCGGGATCGTTCCCTCTCCAGAAGGCCGGTGGGGGAGGGGCCGCGGCGGAGGAGGATGCTTACTCCATCCAGGCCCGGACCCTCCAGGCCTCCCGGGCACACTCAGGGTGCCCCCGACCCCATCTCGGGTGCAAGGCTAGGGCCAGGGTGGCAAGGCATCCCCCAAGGGCCTCGGGGAAGCGGGTGGCATCCGATGGATCCTGCGCCCCATGGATCCTGCGCCCCGGGCCCTGGCCGCGCCTGGGAGGCGGGCATCTCGTCCTCGATGTGCCCGTCGACCTTGCGGCAAGCGGGGAGGGGAGAGGAGGGGGCGCGCCCCGAGGCCCCGCGGGCCCACCGCCGCTGCTGCGTCCCTTTGTTTCTCGGTGCTTCTTCGCGACCGGAGCCTCGCGCGGGCGCCTAGGGCTGCGGGGAGGGGGAGGGGAGAAGAGGGCCCGCGGGGGAGGGGGGGGGACGCTTCCTGGCTCCTGGGCCCCCCCTGCCTCCCCAGGGAGGTGAGTTAGAGGGCCGCGGCAGCCCCACAACCAAGTGAGGCACAGTATCCCCCCAAGGGCCCCGGGCCGCGGGGTGACCTTGAACGCGCCTGCCTGCTCGCGCCACTCGCCCCGCGCCTAGTGCTTTCAGCAGCCACGGAGCTGGTCAGCTCCTGAGCGCGAGCCCCGCCCACCGACCACGCCCCGCCACGCCCATCTAGGCCCCGCCCCCAGGGCCCCAGGGGGCCCAGCCTCGCCAGAGCCCTCGGATCTCGGGTGGCAGCCCGGGCGTGTCCCGGGGCGGGGTCTGCGTTCTAGCCCCACCCTGGCTCCACCCCCGCCCCTGCCGAGAGACTCCGCTCCCCGCGCCGCTGCGCGTCCTTTGTCTGGTCCCGGCGCCCGGGCCTCTCTTCTCGGTTATTCCTGTCTCTCTATCTCTGCGTCGTGTCTCTGGACCGTGTGTCTCTTCCTGGAGCCCCGATTTCGAGTCGTGGCCGGCACAGCGGGTGTGGGCCGCTCAAGACTCCCTCCAAGTCTGGGCCTCTGTTCTCCTGGACCCTGGGACCCGCCCACCTGGCACTGAAGAGCAAGGCCCCAGCTCCCCTGCTGTGTGACCTGGGGCCGGCTCTTTCCCCTCTCTAGGCCGAGCTCTGCTCACCCTGGGTACCGGAGGGTGGCCTTCTGAGGACCCTCGGAACCCCCAGGACAGTCCAGCATCCTCCTAAGCTTCCCCTTATTTGTTCCCCGCATTTGAAAAAAGGGAAAGTGTTGCACAAAGGGGAAGAGGGTGTGGCCAGAGGTCACATGAGGGCTTGAGGCCTTTTGAGGCCTGGGGACTCCAATGCAGGGACCCTGAGCCACTGACATCACAGGGCTAGATGGGGAGGAAGTGAGGGGGTTGGTTGAAGACAGCGAGGGCCCAGCACTGAAGGAGAAGGACCCAGAAGTAGGAGGCTCGGCCGCACCACGTGGTGGCCCGGCCTTCCTGTGCATGGCCAATCAATGCCCTATTGTCTCTGGTACCCAGGCATCTGTCAGTGTGACTGGTGCCCCGGGGGTGCAGCTGGGGGTAAAAGGGGTCAAGCGCAGGAGGGTCTAGAGCAATTGGTCTCAGGTGCATTCACAGCATAGCCATGTGTCACAAGTATATGCAGTGGTGGAAGAGTTAGCGACAGGGGAAGGGACAAACAGAGGAAGAGAAGTAAAGAGAAACCAGAAGAGGCAGAAACTCAGAGACCACAGTGGGAGAGTGAGAGGGTGGGCTGGAAGGGTCCCTGGGTCCCTGGCAAGCTCGGCCTCTCCATCTTGGCCCTGTGCTCCTCCCTTCCAGCTTCCCCACTCCTTCCCTGTCACCCTCCCAGGACTCAGCCCCACTGCAGGCTGGGCAGGGAGGTGCGGCCTCTGACAATCTGATCCCATGATGGGCTCAGCCAGCTCAGCCGCTTAGGGCACAATGTGACACTGACCCCTGCTAAGCTCTGGCACAGATTCAAAGGGAAAGGGGTGCGGGTGAGATGAGTAGGCTGGGTGCAGGGGACGCTCCTATGAGCCCCGTACTTTGGGAGGCTGAGGCAGGAGGATTGCAAGTTCCAGCCCAGCCTGGACATTTAGTGACTTAGCAAGACCCTGTCTCAAAATATAAAGGGCTGGGCCGGGGATTTAGCTCAGTGGTTCCGCCGCCTGCTCCGCAAGCTCAAGGACCGGAGTTCGATCCCTGGTACCAAAAGAAAAGAAGTCAAAATAAAAAGGGCTGAGAATGTAGCTCAGTGGAAGGCCCTGGGTTCAATCCCCAGTACAAAAAAAACCCATCCAATTTTAATTCCATCCAAACTGGAGGGGGATGGAGTCTGCAGCCCGTGACTCCATAAACTCTGGATTAGGAGTGAAATTCTGCCTTCCTCACCTCCACCTCCTTTTGTCACCCTGAGCAAGTCCTAGGCCCTTCGGACCTTCTCTAAGTTGTTTTCCCATCTGAGAAACCCAGCAGAAAGTCTCCACCTTCCCAGAGTGGCTCAGGGAAGTGTGAAGTCTCCACACATGCTCAGAGCACAGCAGGTGCCAGAAGCGGTGGCTGGGTGCCGCAGGCCGCTCAGTGGGCCCCTGCAGGCATTATTGCCAACTTAGCCCAGAACTGTCTGGCTGAGCCTGGATGAGGTTCAGAAGTCATCTGCACTCCCTGGCGCCTCTGTGGCCGGCCTTCAGTGAAGGGACCGAGACCCAGGGAGGAATGTGACTGTGGGGTACAGCCAGCAGCTCGAACATGGTAGCCCTCAGTCAATATTTACTGAACTGCCAGTGTGGTGGCACTCGCCTGTCCTAGTGAGACCCTGTCTAAAAAAAAAGTACTAAATCGAATGAGTTGATTCCACCAACTGAGTGGGTTTTAATTGATGGCCAGGGGCTGGAGATGTACCGGAAGCTCAGTGACAGGGCACTTGGCTGGCATGACCAAGGTCCTGGGTTGGAAACCAGCATGGGGGAGGAAAAAAAATCAATGCCTGAGGCATTGCAAACAGTAGACACTCAACTTTGCTTTACTATTACTACTTCTTCAAGAATTGGTTTTGATTGACTCACAGCTCTTACTATCTTTAGTGTTATTTGGCCTTTGGGTTTAGAGAGTAGGTGCTGGGGCCCACACCCTGGATTTAAGTTTCTGGCCCACCCCTTGCATTTTGTATAACGTGGTGCAAGCCTCTGTCCTTTCACTGAGACTCTGTTTCTCATGTTCAGTGGAGAAAAGACCCTCCTTGTGTTTTCAGTGTTTGGAGGAGTACTTGGAAGTGTCACATGGAAAATTTGGTCTCAAGGCTGTATTTTTGTTGTAGTTGTAGTTGTTCTGAGACAGAATCTCACGGGCTGGCCTTGACCTCAGGGCGATCCTCAGCTTCCTGAGTGCTGAGATTACAGGTGTGTGCCATATCGGCCGACTTTCAGCATAGGGGTAATGTGGAGAGATCCGGATGCAGATCTGTGACCTCTTAGTAGCTGCTTTACAGCTGGTGCTGATGGCAGACATCACTCACTGGTCATATTCTTTCTGAGGCTGGATGTGACATCACAGTGCTCCTCCAGGCCACACCCCAAGGCAGCCACTCTCCAGGCATTTACCTTCTATGTCATTGTGTGTGACCCAAGGCCTCATGTGTCCCAGACAAGCACTTCACTGCTGAGCTACATCCCAGCCCTGTGCCATCATTTTTACAAAAATAAATGCAGCCACGTGTGGTGGTGTATGCCTGTAATCCCAGCACTCAGGAGGCTGAGGCAGGAGAATCACCATAAGTTTGAAGTCAGTCTGGGCTGTATACCAAGACCTTGTCTCAAAAAAACAATCAATCAGGCTGGGGATTTAGCTCAGTGGTTCTGCTGCCTGCTTTGCAAGCACCAGATCCCAAGTTCGATCCCTGGTACCAAGAAAAAATTAAAATTAAAATTAAAAAAAACAATCAAACAGTAAGAAAGAAAAAGGGCTGGGATGTAGCACAGTGCTCACTGGGTTCAATCCCCAACACCACACAGAAGAAGAAAAAAAAGAGTAAATGTGAATCAGGTGCAATAGTGGGCATCTGCAGTCCTAGCTACTTGTGAGGCCGAGGCAGGAGGATTTCTTGGCCCCAGGAGTTCTGAAGTTCCCCATTCATACACCTAATGACTCTGAGCTTGGTTTCCTCATCTAAACATGCATATGGTCTTTCAAGATTGTTGGGAGGGTGAGTGAAATAATGTCTTGAGGTACTTTCCACAGGGCCTAGCACACAGTGGGTACTGAGTGCATAGCATGGTCTCAGTGACAGAGAGGAAGCAGAGATGGTTCTGGGACACATCCACACCCACTTCCCAACTGTGCTCATGGCAGACATTACTAGTGGATTCCAGAATTGTTTCCCCACTGTCCCCACTGAGGCTTTGATTCCTTCCCAGGCCCCTGGGGAACCCATAGTTTGGAGTTTGCAGCAGACTGGAGCAGAGTCCCAGGAGCACCAAATGGTAGATCTGAGAACCCAAAACTGGTAAACATTGGCCCTGGGTCTGTCGTGGCTGGCAGTGGAAGTTGGAAATATCACTCAGCATTGGGAAGATTCCTCGGCCTAGTCCTTGTCCTTGTCCACTGTTTTTGTTTTTGTTTTGGGGCTTGTTTGAGACAGGGTCTCACTGTGTAGTTCAGGTGCCCTTGAACTCCCTCTGTGGCCCAAGCTGGCCCTGAACTCCGAGGCAGCCTTCCTGCCACAGCCTCCTGAGTGCTGGGATTACAGGCATGGGCCACCACACCCAGCTTGTCCACCATTTATATGTTGCGAACTCAACTGTCTCTTTAACTTCCACTTCCGGAGGATCCGGAATCTTGTCTGTTCAGGATTACGAGGAAGAAACGAAAAATTTTAGCCAGGTGACCCACACCTGTCATTCCAGCGCTCTGGGAGGCTGAGACAGGAGGACCACAAGCTCTACCTCAGCCTGAGTAATTTAGTAAGACCCTATCTAAAAAAAAGGCTGAGGATGTAGCTCAGTGCAAATGCCCTGGGTTCAGTTCCCAACACCACAAAAAGCGGGGGGGGGGGGGGGGGATTCTGCATGTAAAGCACTTTACATGGTGCATGGAAGGCACCCAGTAGTGTTGATATTTGGGGACAATTATGGTCATGCGTCTTGATCAGGGATGGCTGAGATAAGCTGCAACTGTTGGTGGTTTCCAATCAATCATAGGAGTCTTTTCTGGTGAAAGAACTTGACTTTGGAAACCCTTAATTCATTCCTCTAAAGATCTGATCAGTCAGTTTGAGGTGTTTTTTGTTGTTCATTTGCTTTGTTTGCTTGTTTGTTCATTCCCCTGACGGATTGAACCTATGTGAGTTGCAGCGATCCTGTTTACCAACCATGCCTTAGGAAACTACGGAAATCTGGCTGCTTTACCTCCCTGTGCCCATGACAGACAATACCAATTAATCCTAGCACAATTTCCTAATGGATCACATATGACTTTAAGATTCTCCTGTGGCCCTTCAGATAGTGATTATCAATTGTTTTGATTACCCTGTCCCAAGGTAAAACAGCTTCAAGAAGTTAAGGGGCATGTTCAAGGACATACACAGAGCTGTCAGAGATTATACCAGTCTGGGTGACTATCATGTGCCACAGTTAGAGAATGGTACCGTGTCTTCACGTCTAGAGAGATCTGCATTTAAATTCTAGTCCACCACTCATGTGCTGTGTGACTTCAGCAAATTCCTCAATATCTCTGAGCTTCAGATTCCTCATCTGTCATGCAAAAATTAACTTCTCCTTTTTGGAGTCTTTGTGTGAATTATATAACAAACAACAGAGCTTCCTGAACATAGATGCAAAGAATACTAAACAGCCCGGCATGGCAGCACAAGCTTGTAATCCCAGTACTGAGGAGGCTGAGGCAGGAAGACTGTCTCGAGTTCAAGGCCAGCTTGGGCCACAGAGCAAGTTCAAGGCCACCTGAACTACAGAGGGAGACCCTGTCTCAAAAAAGCCAGAGAGACAGGGCCAGGGATTTAGCTCAGTGGTTCCACCGCCTGCCTCACAAGCTCAAGGACCCAACTTCGATCCCAGGTACCAAAAAAAAAAATATCCTTGCTGGGCATGGTGCTGCATACCTGTAAACCCAGCACTTGGGAGGCTTACTGTGAGGAGCAGGAGGAGGATTACTGTGAGTTCCAGGCCACCCTGAGATACCTACTTCAAGGTCAGCATGTCTCTAAAATAGCCAAAACACAGAAAGTTCTTAATCTGATAAAGGCCACCTATAACAAAGATCATGTTTAGCTGTGAAATATTTAAACCATTTCATGTTTTTCTTGTATTTTTAAGATTTTTTTCACCTGTTTTTATTTATTTTTTATTTGCTTTTTTATCTCTTTTTAAAGCATTGGGAATGTGGAAGCCACTATCACACTGTAGCCTCTGCAATAAGACAAGAAAAATAAGGAACAGGTATAGACAGGAGATGAAACAAATGTGTCATTATTTGCAGGTGTCATGTTATACCCAAAAGCCCCCCAAATCAGTCAGGCATGGTGGCACACACCTGTGAGCCTAACACTCAGGAGGCTGAGGCAGGAGGATTGCCACATGTTCAAGGCCAGCCTGGGCTACATAGTGAGTTCAAGGTCAGCCTGAATCAGATTGTGAAACCCTATCTTGAAAAACAAACAAACAAACAAACAAACAAATCCCAAAAACCCAAGCCAAAATAGTTCAAGGGAAGAATCATAAGAGAAAATATCAAATGCAAAAATTATGTACGAAGCAAAAGAAGCAGTAATACATTTGGGATTGGAGGAAGAAAATAAACATGATCAGGGAGGGGCTGAAGGACTATTCAAAGCTACTAAAATTATTAAATTTGTTATTCTGAAGATGAAATTGTTCATTTTATTATTCTGAAAATGCACAGATTGATTTTAGCCCTCTGGTTTTTTATTTTGGTTTTGATTTTTGAGACAGAGTCTCAAACTCATGACAATCCTCCTGCCTCAGCCTCCCAAATGCCGGAATTACAGGCGTGTACCACCACACCTGGCCTATTGCCTGTTTTTAAAGTTGCAACAGGGCCAGGGATTTAGCTCAGTGGTTCCGGTGCCTGCCTCGCAAGCACAAGGTCCCAAGTTCGATCCCCAGTACCAAGAGAAAAAAATAAAATAAAATAAAGTTGCAACAAAATGCCTGAGTTAGATACTTATAAAAAGGTTTATTTAGCTCAGGAGGCTGAGGCAAGAGGGTCACCATGAGTTTGAGGCCAGCCTCGGCTACACAGTGAGCTCAAGGCCAGCAAGCTCAGGTTTGGAAGCAGAAAGTTAGAGATCAGGTCATGTGTTTGGCCTCTGATAAGGGCTCTGTTGGCTCAGTCAAAATGTGATAGAGAAGCAGAGAGAAACAGCTGTGTGCCAAGGAGGACTCATGCATAGGGTGGCCTTGCCTTATCAAAACCTACTCTGGAGAGAGCTAACCGGGGTCCCTTGAGAGCAGCATTAATCCCTTCCAAAGGCAATGCCCCCAATGACCTAATTACCTTCCATGGCCCCACCTCTTAAAGGTGCCACACTCCCTACCCTGGAGACCAAGCTTCTATGCCATGAACACTTGGGAGACTGGCAACCATATTCAACCCATAGCAAATCGTATTTTATTTTATTTTTTTAAGCAAAACATTTATTGGTACATTTTAGGCAGAAATAGTGATGACACTCATTACAGGGAATTTGCACCTGTACATGGTACATCCCACCTCTTCTTTGTTCCCCTTCTCTCTCCCCTCAACCCCCTCTCTTTCTTATATGCAAAAGCTTTGTTTCCATTTTTTTCTTTCACTTTTACTTCTTTTTCTTGTCCCTTCCTTCCTTTCTCTCTCCCCCCTCTTGTTCCCCTTCCCATTTGAAGACTTTCTTCCCATTTCCCAGTATCTATTATACATTTTAGTCCTCATTTCCACTTTCAGTTTCTCACACCAGAGAAACAGTGCAGTATTTAAACATGTGTGTTCGATTTATTTCGCTTAAGAGTAATGATCTTGATGTCCAACCATTTAGCTAGAAATGTCTTGTCCTTCTTTATGGCAGAGTAGTACTCCATTGTATTAAAAACCACATCTTCTTTATCCACTCATCGGTTGATGGGCATTTGGGCTATTTCCAAGATTAAGCTATTACAAAATGTGCCGCTATAAACATGGGTGTGCATATATTGCTGTGGTAGGATGCTTTTAATTCTTTCAGGAAGATACCAAGAAGGGGAATACCTGGATCGAATGGAACCTCTAGTTTTAGTTTTTTGAGGACTCTCCACACTGATTTCCACAGTGGCTACACCAGTCTGCGCTCCCACCAACAGTGGAGAAGGGTTCCTTTCTCCCCACAGCCCAGCCAGCTCCAAATGGTATTTTATATATGGAATTTCTTGCTGTCAAATCATGTCAGGAGGGTTGTTTTGCTTTGCTTTGCCCAATGCCTTTGCTGATAAGCAGAAGGAATTAAGAATAAAAAGTTGTTGCTGGATGTGATGGCGCACACCCGTCAGTCATCCCCAGCATAAGGGAAGCTGAGACAGGAGGATCACTGCAAGTTCAAGACCAGCCTGAGTTATAGAGCGAGACCTTGTCTCAAAAAAATAAATAAAGCCAGGTTCCCCACCTACAGTGAAGGCCGAGTCAGACATGGCTCCTTCTTCTCCGTGAGGGACTGGGCGGTGAGCGGGTCTGCCCTATTGTCTCCAGCAGATACTGGGGGCCATGGAGTCTCAGGTGGGGGGGGGCCCGGCCGGCCCGGCCCTGCCCAACGGGCCACTCCTGGGTACCAACGGAGCGACTGATGACAGCAAGACCAACCTCATCGTCAACTACCTGCCCCAGAACATGACCCAGGATGAGTTCAAGAGTCTGTTCGGCAGCATCGGGGACATTGAGTCCTGCAAACTGGTTCGGGACAAGATCACAGGTGTGCCCTCGGGCCCATGGCCAGGGTGGGGGTGTGGGGGGCCTCAGGGACGGGGTGACCCTGGCCCACTCAGGGTGTGAGGTACAGAGGAACAGGCCCCAACTGGTGTCCTGATCTCCTACCCAGGGCAAAGCCTGGGCTACGGGTTTGTGAACTATTCTGACCCCAACGACGCAGACAAAGCCATAAACACCCTCAACGGCCTCAAACTCCAGACCAAGACCATCAAGGTGAGTACTGCCACCTGCCAGCCACCTGGCCCCCAGGACGGCCACCTCTGCCCCCTCCCCCACCACCCCACCCCCGAGTCCCAGCCTCTCCTCCAGGCTCCTGGCTGCTTCACCTGGTGGTGGGGCAGAGGGGTTCAGGGAGGCAATTGGTTTGTTTCTCCAAACCTCAGTTGCCTGGCCTGTTAATGGGGTTCACGTGAGCCCCACCATCTCCAGAAGCTTGTGAAGCCAGCCAGGCCCCAGAGGTAGGACAGAGTGAGTGACCAGGGTCTCTTGGGCCGCCCCCTGCCAGCCTCCCTTTGTCCTGGCCATGGAGGGGGGGCCCATTTGCCATCTGGAGCCTAATTAGGGTGTGGGATATCGGGATTAGGGGCGGCCCCTCCCCCACCTTTGTGCAGCACCCCTCCCCCACAGCTCCCCACTCAGCAGCTGCAGCCGGGACCCTGCGAGCCCAGTTCCCTTGGGGGATCACCATGGAAACCCCCTCTCTGGGTTCGCCTGGGGGTGTGTGGGCTCCGCCCCACAAATCTGCTCCTGGACCCTGAGGAGGCCAGGTGGGGGGTGCCCATCTGGCCCCCTATTTGCCCCAGGGACTGAGGTATAGGAATCTCTTCCTTTCCTTGACTTGGGCGTGCTGGGGAGAAATGAGGTGGTGACCTCATGGGCCCCTCTGCGGCCAGCTGGACCCGGAAGTCCCTGGCATGTGAGGGTGGACACTAGTGACTAAATATAAGTGTGAGCTCCTGTGTGTGTATGTGTGTGTGTGCGTGTGTGTGTGACACTCCAAGCCGTGAGGCACCGTGTTTAGGTTGGCAGTTGTATGACACAGCGTCTGTGCAGGTGGCTTCCACTGGGCCACTCTGGCTGGCTGGGACTTGACGTTTGTCCCTGTAGCCTGGAGAGGCTGGTGTTTAAGGGACAGGTGGTTGTGACACCCACAATCATCTGTGACCTGGTGGGCCAGCACGGGCATGTGTGGCTACACGGGGTGTCTGTGTGTCCAGGTGACACTGTGTGGGTGTGTTTTCCTGTGCCCCCCTGGGGACAGAACATGTGTGACCTGGGTGCTCTGCGGGGATGACAGTTGTGTGTCCTTCGATTCTGACTAATTCTTAAGAGCCTGGTGTCACAGGGAACCTGGCAGTGGCCTGGCGACAGCTTCTTGCCGGTTTTCCCAGCATGGCTGTGCTGCATGGTGGCACCATACACGTCCCTGAGGCTGTGTCACATGGTCGGGCCCCACTGAGTGTCCTGGCAGATTCAGATCAAAGTGTTTTCGGTCACTTGTGTGTGCCAGGTGCTGTCCTGGTGTGGGAGAAATTTGCCATCGCTGCCCTCAGGGAGCCCCCAGTGTAGAGAGATGAAAAAGACCTGTGAAGACTTACTGTGGGCCTTGGGGGGTCTCAGACCCCAAACCCCACCTCGGAGCTCATGGCCCCCCATTCCCTTCATCCCCAAATCTGATCCACCAAGCCAATCCTCAGCTAGGCACAGCAGCTCCCTCCTGTAATCTCAGCCACTTGGGAGCCTGAGGCAGGAGGGTGGCAAGTTTAAGGTAAGTAGGGGAATTTAGGGAGACCCTGTCTCAAAATAAAAAGGGCTGGGGATGTAGCTCAGTGTGAAGGCCCAGTGCCGCAAAAACAAAACCAAACAAAATAAAACAAAACAGCAGCTGCTATGTTTGTTTTTTTCCTGGAAGACCCCAGGTGTATAGTTGCCTTAATCAGAATCTGCCCCTACCCAGGCACACCCTCACCCCCAATCCACCCCACTCAGTTTATTTATTTTGTTCTTAGGTCCAGGGATTTAGCTCAGTGGTTTCGCCGCCTGCTGCACAAGCGCAAGGACCCGAGTTCAATCCCTGGTACCAAAAAAAAAAAAAAAAGATAAATGTAAAAATATTTTGTTCTTAATTAGTTATTTCTGATGAAATAATATACCCTCACTACTCATGGGTCCAAAGCCAGACTCTCAGCAACGACCTTTAACTATCTGGAGGGTAATGGGGAAGAAAGGAAAACTAGACGAGGGCAGAAATGAGGGGGCGGGGAGCTCCTCCTGCCCCCCCCAGGTCACCCCCTTAGCATCTGGGGGTGGGGCTCCAGACCGCCTCTCCAGGACAAGGGTAGGGACACAATGCGACAGGGTCACATAATGCTGGCTGTTTTGTAAATGGACTTTTCTTTCCCCCACTTCACAATACTCACCACTGTTTCAGGGAATAAATGTACACGTCCAGCATTTTTTCAACAGCTGCAGCATTTCAGTGTCGGGCTGGACCCCGGGTAGCGACTTGAATCAAATGATCACAATGAAACATGTAAATTCACAAGGGAAAGATGTGCTTTGAGAAGGAATAATCGAGATGGGAGTGTGGGGGTGGGGACAGGGAAGAGGTTTAAACTAGGACCTGGAGAAGAAAAAGGAGAAAGTTCCAGGCAGAGAGGGAACAGCATATATAAAGGCCCTGAGGCTGAAACAGGCCTGGGGGATTTGAAGGAAATGAGGAGGCCCCTGTGGCTGGATCAGGGCAAGTGAGAAGGAAAGGTGGGGAGAGATCAGGGCAGATGGTAACAGGTGACAGGGGAAAGTATGCAAGGCCTCATGAGCTCCAAGAAGGACTTTAATACTGAGGAAGGTGGGAGCCACAGAAGGTTCTGTGCAAAGGCAGTGACCAGGCTCACATGTTCACAGGCGCCCTCTGTCTGCCACGGGGGGAACCAAGCAAGCGCAGGAGACAGGTGGTCTGTGGTGATGACTGAGACAGAGCGGAGCCGACAGAGTTTATGGTGGCTGAGAAGTGACTATGAAGGACAGGGAAGTATCAGGGACACACAGGGCTGGGAAGCAAAGGATAGCTGCCATTGCTTTTAGGGTTGGAGTTAGGGTTAGGATCCCTTGTCCAGTACCCATGGCTCTGTCCCCTCCCTGACCACACCCTGCTAGCCTCCACTCAGGGAATCAATGGAAGAGATATTGTTGCTGAATGCAGTGGTGAACACCTGTAATGCCAGCTGCGCACAGGAGGCTGAGGCAGGAGGATCTCAAGTTGGAGCCCACCTCACCCCGTGCCTCTGTCCCCTTTTGCCCAGGTGTCCTACGCCAGGCCTAGCTCTGCGTCCATCCGGGACGCTAACCTCTACGTCAGTGGGCTCCCCAAGACCATGAGCCAGAAAGAAATGGAGCAGCTCTTCTCGCAATACGGCCGCATCATCACCTCGCGCATCCTGGTGGACCAGGTCACAGGTCAGGCGGGGGCGGGAGGGTGGCACCAGCTGGGAGACCTGGGGGAGAGACTGCCGTTCGGAGGAGGCCGGAAGTGGGGCGGAGGGGCAAATCACTTGGGAAGCGTCCAACAGCCGGATGACCACGCCCATCCCGCAGGCGTCTCTCGGGGTGTGGGATTCATTCGCTTTGACAAGAGGATCGAGGCGGAGGAGGCCATCAAAGGACTGAACGGGCAGAAGCCGCTGGGCGCGGCCGAGCCTATCACGGTGAAGTTCGCCAACAACCCGAGTCAGAAGACGGGGCAGGCACTGCTCACCCACCTCTACCAGTCCTCGGCCCGGCGCTACGCAGGCCCCCTGCACCACCAGACACAGCGCTTCCGGTGAGCTCTCTGCGCCCCCAGGGCCCCCACCCCAAGGCCCACCCCTGCAGAGCCAGGCCGCACCCGGGCTGCTGAGGCACGGAATGGGGAAGGCATGGTTGTCGGGTCCTGAGACGGAGCCCTGGTAGACAGCTGGCGCTCAGTGTGTGCTAGCCAGGACTATTGGCTTTTGGGGGGCACTGAGAATGGAACCCAGAGCCTTTGCACTGAGCTACATCTCCAGCTCCTTTTTTATTTTTTATTTTGAGAGAGGGCCTTGCTAAGTCACTAATTTACCCAGGCTGGCCATGAACTCGTGACCCTCCTGCCTCAGCCTCACAGAGTGCTGGGATGGCAGGCGTTCACTGCCCTGCCTCACACAATTGGCATTATTGGCGTGAAGGGTGTTGTTGACATTTGACTGGAGTCCTAGTCTCTCTCTCTCTGTTGGGCGCATGGTGTCTGTGCCTCAGTTTACTCATCTGTAACAAAAACACCAAACATTTCCTGAGCACTTACTGCATGCCAGGCACATTTACTTTGCACAGCAACCCCCCCGAGAACGGAGCTTATATTGTCCCCACTTTACCGAGAGTGAACCCCCAAAAAGCACAGACAGATGTCACGGCTTAATGAGCAGAGGCAGGCTTGCGCCCAGGGCCCCCTGTGGGAGTTCTCAGCCACTCCAAGTGGGGGACAGTGGAGGTTCCTCACTCCCGGGTGGCCGTGGTGAGTCACTCACGCCCTAGCGCTCAGGCACAGTGGCTGTGGCTGTCACTGTCCCCTTTGTTAGGGCGGATCCCAACTCAGAGACGCCAGCCCTGGGCCCAGACGGCCCTGCTGGCCACCGGGGAGGGGAGGATGAGGATGCTGGAGGCGGTGTCCGAGTGACCGCGGTCCGTGCCAGGCGCATCCAGCCGGGCAGGAGGGCGGGGGCGGGGCGGCCAGGCTCAGCCTCCCTGGGTGACGAGGGTGACACCGCTTCTGCCCCACAGGCTGGACAACCTGCTCAACATGGCCTACGGAGTCAAGAGGTAACAGTGCCCCCGGCTGTCCCTCCTCAGGCCCCCTGCCCATCCAGGGCCCTCCCCACCCTCGGGTTCCCTCCCACTTCTTCACCTCGAAGGGAAAGGCAGGCAGTGTGGCCCAGGACACAGCCGTCCGCACCCGGTGCTTTCCTCGTTAATTCTCTGGGATCCACCAGCCCCTCTGAAATAATTTTTGTCAAAGGTCATAGGGTGACCTCCTTCTGCCAAGTCAAGATGGACTGTGTGGAGCCCCTCAGTGCAGTCTGCATCCCTGATCTGGCAAAAGTCCTCGTGTTTGTTTGGTTTGGTTTTCGTTTTTTTTTTTTTTGGTGCCGGGGATCAAACTCGGGTCCTTGCGCTTGCACAGCAGGCGGCGAAACCACTGAGCTAAATCCCAGGCCCTCGTGTTTGTTTGTTTGATTGGTTTTGGTTTTTTGAGACAGGGTCTCGCTGTGTAGTTCTGGCTGGCTTTCAACTCTGTGTAGCCCAGGCTGGCCTCAAACTCATAGTGATCCTCCTGCCTCAGCCTCCTGAATGCTGGGATGACAAGCATGTGCCACTGCACCCAGCTGTCACTCACTGTGTTTATTGCATAAAGAGCTGCTGAGGGCGCTTGGAGAAGCCAGTGCTGGGCTTGAGGCTGAGGTCCTAGTGGACCCAGCCCAATCTGTAGAGAGGAGATGACGTTAAGCACAGTGCTTAGTATGTAGTGCTTGGAACAAGGTAGCCACACAGAGAGGATTATTGCTGCTGCTACTCAGGACCTCAGTCTTGTGCAGGAAGAGAGAGGGGAATGAGCTGGGGCCAGGGCTATGCAGAGGGCAGAGTAAGGGGTGATGGGGATCTGCAGGTGACTTTGGTACTGAGGCCCAGAGAGAAGCTGAAGTTTCTGTTCCTGGCTGAGGGAACAGCCTTTTCAAAGGCTGAAGGAAGAAGCAACCAGTTAGTCCGGTGTGGTCAGGGTTAAATGGTGCAAACCCTTATGGTCCCCTCCAAATTGAGTGGTTTGGTCCTGAGGGTTAGGGACGAGTGGAATAGGTTCTGTCCTTTCATTAATTCATTCAACAAACACCCCCGCAAACACCTGCCAGGCACTATTCTGGGGCAGGAGCATGCCGGAAAAGAGGGAATTGGTAATAAATATAATGATCCTCCCTCATCTGCTGGGAATATGTTCCAAGACCCACCCCTGAAATCAAGAATGAAACCAAACCCTTTATATCCTATCTTTTGTTCCCTGTTGTCTATCTAGATGGGTTGATGACGATATTCAGTGAATATTTAAGTTTTTTAAAAATTTATTTTATTTATTTTTTTGGTACTGGGGATTGAACTCGGGTCCTTGCGCTTGCGAGGCAGGTGGGGGAACCACTGAGCTAAATCCCCGGCCCTAAAAAAAATGTATTATAGTAAAAGACACATTGTCATGAATCCTTTTCAACACCCCCCTCCCCCAACACACGCAAACTTTGAACACACCTATCCCATCATGCTGGCCACTTTCTGCAGCAGCCTGGAGGTCCTCTTTCATGAGTGTCTTGACGAGTTGTGGTCAGAAACACGGTGACTGCTGCTGCCAAGTGCCATCCAATGGAAAAGTAGCTCATAAAAACATGATAGTGCGTCCTCATCCACCTTATTCACCAGATCTGGCACCGTGCGACTTCTGGCTCTTCCCCGAAGTCAAAATAACCCTAAAAGGTCAGTTTTGAATCAATTCAGGATATCAGGGCAGCCACAAAGACACTGAAGACACTCACGAAAGAGGACTTCCAGAACTGCTCCAAAACTGGCAAGAATGATGCTGTATAAGTGTTTTTGAAGAGGGGCAGGATTTTGAGAGGGATTCATGGTAGTGTGTCTTTTACTATAATAAACTTTTTTTTTAGAAACAGGTTGTCACCTTCGATCCCTGGTACCAAAAAAACCACCAAGTTGTCACCCTGTGGTCCAGGCTAACTGGAATTCACTGTGTAGCCTGGTCTGGCCACAGCAAAATTAGCCCAGCTTTCTTTCTTTCCTTTCCTTTCCCATCCTTTTCTTTTCTTTTCTTTTTTCTTTTTTGCTGTACCGGGAATCGAACACATGACCTTGCACTTGCAAGGCAGGTGCAGTGCCACTGAGCTAAATCCCTAGCCCCTCTTTCTCTTTTTTCTTTCTCTTCTCTCTTGCTTTCCTTCCTTCCCTCCTTCCCTTCCTTCCTCTCTTCCTTTCTCATGCCAGAGCGGCCCTGGGCCTCCCGCGTTGGAGGGCAAGTGCTCTACCGCTGAGCTGCACCCTTGGCCCTGTGCTTGCATTTCTTTTCCCTTCTTTGTGGTTCCACGGAAAAGAGTTTTCACCTCACCATAGATCTTGACAACCTCAGCAAGGATTTTTTTCTCTTTTCCTAGTCAGGAACATTCACTTTGCCACTCGTCTGTGACATCTAAAGAATTGTTGACTTCTAGAATGTTCGGTGTGATGCGTTCAAAGCGAGGTTGAGCTCAGGTCACTGTAATGGCAGAAAGTGACACAGTGGAGGAGAGGGAGACGCTGTGTGTGATTTGAGGAGGAGAAGGCCAGAGAGGGGCAGAGGGCTGAGGCTGGGCCACTTCACGAGGCCAGAGGAAGCCAGCTGGGGAGATGAACGAGGTGCTAAGACCGGGGGGCCCTGCCATTCCCGGGTGGGCTCCAGATGGGTGGGAGACACAGTGAGCAGAGTTGCCCAGGGCATGGCAGGGAGGGAAGGGTGGCTGCCAGGGTGCGTGGGAGGTTGAGATGAACCAGGCCCAGGATCCGGTAGGGACAAAGGTGGCAGGGCCAGGGGTTGGTGTGGCCTCATGTTCAAGGGGGCTCAGAGGTGGAGAGAGCTGCAGTGTCTCAGGAGGGGTCACCCAGAGGAGGCACGGGCAGGGGTCCCAGCGGGGTCGGAGGCATGCCGGGGGTGAGGGCAGAGCCCGCGTGACCCCCAAAGTAGTCCCCTGTCGCTCATCGCCAGGTTCTCTCCGATCGCCATCGACGGCATGAGTGGCCTGGCTGGCGTGGGGCTGTCAGGGGGCGCGGCGGGTGCCGGCTGGTGCATCTTCGTGTACAACCTGTCGCCCGAGGCAGACGAGAGCGTGCTGTGGCAGCTGTTCGGGCCCTTTGGCGCGGTCACCAATGTCAAGGTCATCCGCGATTTCACCACCAACAAGTGCAAGGGCTTTGGCTTTGTCACCATGACAAACTACGACGAGGCGGCCATGGCCATCGCCAGCCTCAACGGCTACCGCCTGGGCGAGCGCGTGCTGCAGGTGTCGTTCAAGACCAGCAAACAGCACAAGGCCTGAGCTGCCCCTCCCCGCCACCCCTTCCCCGGGCAGCAGAGAGAAAGAGAGAGAAGGGGCCCGAGAGAGACAGCCCAGGCAGGCGGACCCATCCCTGCGGGAGGCCCGGGGTGAGCGCTGGGCTGGAGGGTCTGCAGGGACAGGGGCGCCGGGGACTCCCATCCACCCTCCCCGCCCCATCCCCAGCTGGGCTGTTCACTCTCTCGTCTTGGTTTGGTTCATGGTGAAGGTTTTTGTTCCTTTTTTTCGGCTAAAAAGAAAGCAGAGACGAGCCCCCCCCCCACCGTTCACCACCCTCCACGGGATGGCTTGGGGGACACGGGGGACCCTCCCAGGCCCCCCAGCCCGGGCCTCCCTGACATCTTAGGTGGGTCTGGAGAGAGGGGGAAGGGAACAGGTTTAAAAATCCCCAAAACTAAAAAAAAAAGCAAAACGTGAAGAGGAGTGTGGGCATCCCTGGCTCCCAGAACCCCTGGGAGGAAGAAGGGAGCAAGGGGAGGGGAGGGGCTGGAAGCAGAAACAAAATGGAGAAAAAAAGGGGGGTGGGAGGGGAAGAAAAACTCTATTTTTGTAAAAAGGGAAAAAGACCTCGTGGAGAATTTTTACTGGGGATTCTTGAACTTGAAAAAAAAAAATCACAAAAAAAGACAAAAAAAAAAACAAAGAAACTATTTTGGCAGGTTATGTTTACCAACTGGGGCACGGGCAGGGCTGAGGGGCTGAGGGTCCACAGGGCCACACACGGGGCACATGCATACACGCCACGGGGACAGAGACACGGACACGCACAGACACACTTAGGGACACGTTTAGGAACTCACTGGCCAAACCCAGACACGTGGAGGGGGACAAAGCCGAAGGAGACAGAGGTTTGGGGTCACACCAACGTGGACACCGATGTAGGTGTCCATGCACACTCCTGGGTGTGTAGACACAGAGCAGGACACCCAGTCACACTGACAGACAACATGGGCAGGGACACATGAGCTCACAGCAGCCCGCAGCCCGGCTCCCGGGGGCACCGTCAGGTCCCACGCCCCAGCCCTTCCCTGGACCGTCGGGGTCTCCCTGCTGCCCACCAACACAGGCATGCAACACGGCGTCCTGCACCCAGACACATGATACCTCGTTCCACTTCGGCGTCACGGGGGCTGGAGGCAGTCCCCCGCCCCCCACAACACTCAAGGCCAAAGGACTCCCTGTCCCCTGAGCCTCCTCCTCCCACCAGGGCAGGGCTCCCCAGCAGCAAGTACCTAGCAGCCCCCATCAGGCCCCAGGTGGCCAGGCCCTACACCCCTTCCCGTCTACTTTGTCACCCCCCTCTTTGGTTTGTTAGGGTTTTTTTGTCTCCAGATTGGGGAGGGCGGTAATCACAGCCCTCATCCGGATGCCCAGCCCTGGCTTCTGTCTGAATTTTGGCCCACACCCCTTCTCTTCCCCTACTTTTCATTGTTTTTTAAGAAAAATTCCAACAGAAGCCAAAGGCCAGAGCCCTTGGGAGCCCTGGAAGCCCCTCACCCCCTCAGCAGGCCCAATCAGAACCAAGAATCGAGAAGCCCCATCTCGGCCCCAGTGGCCTCTCCTCCCCGCTGTCCTCTGCGTCTGGTGTCTGGCCACGGCCCCAGTATGAACGTCCGGCTCTCTCTCCCCACCCCTCCCGGTGTTGTTATTACACGTCTGTGGAGCTTCTGCTGCAAGGAACAAAAAGAAAAAAAAAATCAAAAAAGCAACAACAAAAAAAGAGAAAAACAAATAGAAGAGGAAGAAAAAAAAAAGCAACAAAAAAGAAAACAACAACAAAAAAAACCCACACACACAGAAGAGATTTCAAAAAAAAGAAAAAAAAAAGAGACATAAACTGGCACCAGTTAACTTTCTTGTACTTTTTTGCTGAATTTAGCTTCTTGTAGTTTTAACTTATTGCTATGTTAACTATTTATTATTCCTGTTGACCTGTAAGGACCTTTGTGTATATTTCTGTTACTTCATCCGGTTTGCAAGTTAAAGGGACTCCAATGTTCTTTGTTTCTCTAAGTTTTGCTGAGACGTGGTTATGCCTAATTTATTTATAAAAGGGGAAGTGGAATCATTAAAGTAATAATAATTATTAATAACAGTCATGGTAGCCAAGCGGCACTGGGGGGAGCGTGGGTTCCTCAGAGCTGTCCCCCCGCGGGCCAGCGACATCTAGGGGTGTCAAGGGGGTTCATTTTGCTCTTGTCTTGAGAATTTTTTCAGTCCTATTTAGCTGGTGAAAACCCTAGCTTGTTCATGATACACGAAGCTATTTATTCTTGTGGTTTTAAGTCCACCCTCCTCTCTCCCCACCCTCTCAGCAGGGCAGGGACCCCCGACTCCCCCCCAGTGGGTCCACCCCTCTTTCCCTGCTGTTTCTGGGCCTTTCTCCCCGCCGCCCTCCACATAGAGCAATAAGGGCTGGGTTCGTCCCCCACCCTGGGGGGGGCCGGGCTTGGAGAGGGGACGCCTCCCCACACGCCCTCCCGAGGCCTAGGCCCCTGCCACCCCCAACTTGGGAGGGGACCTCTTTTTCTAAAACAGAGCTCAGCCCAGCCAGGCCCCCTCCCTGAAGGCCGCCCCCGCCCCAGGGGCCAGGCCAAGGGCTCCCTGCGAGGGGACCTCAGGCTTCCACCTCCCTGGGGGGCGGGGACAGGGCCAGCAGGGAGGGGGCTCAGCCCCTCCAACCCTCCCTTCATCCTGTAATTTATTCAGAAGGTTTCAAATCACAACAGAGTCCATGTTGGAGGTGATAAAGAACTGTTAAAAAAAAAAAAAAAAAAAAAAAAAAAAAAAAAAAGAACAAAAAATCGACCCAACGGAGAACATTTTGCGTTGCGTTTAGACTATTTATTACCAGGGTTCCTGGCCTGGCCGCGGTAACAGACTTTTACATGGAATTGTTTAATTATTTGTACTTTTCATGCCAGAAAATAAAAGTTCAGAATCTTAGGGTCTCGGGTGATCTGTGCTGGGGCGCAGGAGGGCTGGGGTCGGGTCGGGTGCACAGTAGCTGGCCTGGGTCTGTCTCCTTTTTTGTGACATGGTCTCACTATGGAGCCCAGGGTGGCCTGGAACTCCTGATCCTCCTGCCTCAGCCTCCTCAGTGCTGGGATCACAGGTGTGCCAAACCATGCCTGGCTTGGGCCTGGGACTCATCTGTGCCATGAGCGCCTGACACATGTGGACGTGGCCTGGCTCCACCTGTGCCCAGTGCTGGACTCAGCTGCTGGCCCGACAGGGCCAGGCCAGGCGGGCCCTGCAGGCAGCACTTCTTGCTCCCGTGCATTCACCTCTGCCCCCTCCCCTTGGTTCTCCATCCCATAAATCAGGGCAGACAGAGCCAAGTTTGGGGGTGGAGTCACATTTATTGTTCTGTCACAGATGAAGCCATTCACTGGCCCCCACCAGACAGGGAAGGAGGGGTGGCATGGGGGGCAGGGGTGAACTGCCAGGGATGGGGGCTCCTTTATCCCATCTTTGGAGGCCACTGGGGCCTGGGAACATGGCTCAGCCAGGGCCCAGGAGCAGGGCTTGGAGGCCCCCAGGGGTCCTGCTCAGCAGAGGAGGGGGAGGGACGGAGGAGTCCAGGCCTCAGTCCTTCCAGTCCCCAGAGGGAGGACGGAAGGCGACACTGTGGGGCTGCCTCCCCGCCTTGAGAGTCCAGGTGGGAGAAAAGGGGAGTATCAGGAGGAGGGGGAAGTGGTGCGGTGTCACGCCCCAGCAGGAGGACGGCTGAGAGTTCAAGCCCAGCCTGGACTACACAGGGAGACCCTGTCTCAAACACACCCATGCAGAGGAAGGGATGGCGGCCCAGGGGACAGGTCGGAGGGAGAGGTCCCCTCCCCGCCCACCTTGGCCGGGCTGCACTACAGCTCATCGTGGTCGCTGTCCACCGGGAGCTCAGGGGGCGGCTCCGGGCAGGCGGCCGGCGTGGAGAGCTCCATGAGGTACTCGCATCGGCTGGGCTCGGTGGTGCTGGTGACCGCGGTCTCCTTCCCGCACAGCAGGCGCACCTGGCGACAGGACCAGAGGCGGACCGGATGCTCACGGGGGCCGGTCGGGGCCGGTCCCCCAACCCTGAGTCAGGCACTCACGGTGGTGGAGCGGTTGGGGCCCTGCCAGCAGCCGGTCCCCTGCTCGTACTTCATGGCGCTGAATCTGTCGTGCTCGGGCCCGGCCCACGAGCCCCACGTGCTGTGGACAGCGAGGTGCTGAGTGCCTGACCGGCTGGGGGACCAGCAGGGTGGGAGGGGTGCAGCCCTGGCCACTCACCCGAGGTTGGTGGGGGAGCCGCCCAGCTTCGGTTTCTGGGAGACGAGTTTAAAGGGGCAGAGCCGGTAGATGTATCTGTCAAGGGGAACACAGGGACCTCAGATCCCGCCATGACCTGCGCTTTGTGTGTGGTACTGGGGACTGACCCCAGGGCTTTTGCACTGAGCTGCATCCCCAGCTGTATTTCTTTCCGGACTCAGTATCCTGCTAGCCATGTAGGGCAGCCCAAACCCTCAGCCTGTCCCCAAGGACCCCACCCCAGGACCCACTCATTGGTGCTGAGCTCGTAGCACTGGCTGTACAGGTAGGCGAACTCCCCTTGGGGGCCAAAGTCGAAGGAAATCTCCTGCTCCAGGTTCCTGGAAGGAGAGGCCAGGTGCAGAAGGGACAGTAGAGGATGGGCGCCGTGGCTGACACAGGACGGCCCAGCCCAGCGGTGGAGAGACACCCGACGGCTGTGTCCCTGCCACCCCTGCCACCCGGGGACCCTCCCCGAAGGAGCCACGCCCACCGGGGCCTCGGTTGCCTCGGAGACTCCTGGTTACCGCCGCCTCTAGGGAGCCGGAGCCGGGGTGGGTGGCAGCACCGCCTGGTCTCGGCCAGACACAGGCCTGGTACCTGATGGACTCCTCCATGTCCTTCAGGGACCGCTCAGCCTCCTCGAACTTGCTGCGGGCCTCCTGGGCAGCTGGGGGAAGGGACACAGGTCACGAGGCCCCTCCCCACGTGGGCCTGCCCTGGTCAGGAGACCACACACTGGACTGCTGGCTCCCTCCCCAGGGCCTGCCCTGGTCAAGGACGGAACTGGGGAGCCTTGCGGGGCCTTTGCCAGGGCAGGGCTGGCTGCACCCTGCTGCCGAGGCACCACTCCTAGCCTTGCTGGCTCCTGGGGCCACCAGGGGTGACACAAACAAGCCGTACCCCAGGGAGTAGGAGGGCACCGGGGGCTGACGGGCAGGACGAGCTTTCCCCAGAGCAGAGGCAGGCACAGCCCGCATGTGGCTCTGAGACACAGGGGACACTCGGGGGACACAGTGGAGACCCCCATCCCGGGGCGGGGGTCTGTGGTGGGACATGAGGCCCTCTCCACCGGGCCAGGGCCTCACCATCAATGAAGGCCTGTGTCTGCTCATCATAGGGTGGCATCTTGTCCTCCTCGCTGGGGCTGGGCGGCTGGGAGGGCTCCAGTGGGGACGGGGCCTCCTGTGGATGGGGTGGAGTCAGCAAGCGACCCTGCTCCACGCCAGCCAGCCCTGCGCCCCTAAACACACACCTTGGGCTGCTCCCCAGGCACCTCAGAATCCTGCTCTTCATCCTCCTCTTCTTCCTCGGTTTCCTCCTCCTCCTCTTCCTCGTACTCCGTGGGATGGGTCGGCACCGAGGGCTGCTCCTCCTTGGACTCCATCACCTCCGGGGCCAGAGGTGCTGGGAGGTCGGCAGGGAGTGCCTGGCGGGCAGGTGGGGAAGCGGGGCGGTCGGGGCTTGTGGCCTCAGCGTCTCCACCCCTTTCAGAGGGAAGGAGGGGCCCCCGTGGAGGAGCCTGGGTGGCCCAGCTGGCCAGGGTGGCTGGGTGCCAGGATGGGGGCAGTGCTTTTGTGAGCCGAAGGCGGAGCGGGGCAGGACCGAGTCCCCTCCCCTGTGCTCGCTCCCCTACAGACCTCGGACCGGTACTTGTCCCTGATGCTGGCCCAGACTCGGTCGTAGAAGGAGCTGGCATCCGTCTGTGTGTCCCCGCCGAGCAGGGCCTGTGTGTGAGTCAGGGTGGGGTCAGGACGGGGCCTCCCTGTGCCCCGGTGCCCGGCTCTGGGCTCCAGGGCCTCTGACTGTGGTGCCAGCCACGGGTGCGCTGGGCCCTGAGCTTTGGGGACCAAGCCACCAGGTGGGCGAGGGGCTGCACCCAGAGGGCGGTGGTCCAGGCCGAGGGGGGGGCTGGGAGACAAAAAGAGACAGAGGTGGGAGACGGACGACAGGAGGGGTGCGGCTCAGGCACCAGTGTGTGCCAGGCCTGCCCGGGCCAGTGTGCAACGAGGAGGACCAGGAGCAGGCAGGGACGGACAGAGGGACGGGGCGGGGGCCAGGCTAGCAGGACAAGGGAGGGCAGCTGTGACAGGGAGGGCAGTGGGTGTCCCCTCCGGGGCGGCTGGCAGGGCCACAGGCAGGGGAGGGGCCCACACTGCCCGAAGCCACTCCGGACCCCGGCAGGCAGGGAGGATTCTGGGGCTTCCCACGGCTGGCCTGTGCCCCCTCCCCGGACCTGAGGTCACCCTGGGGTACCTGGGCCTCCCCTTCAGACACAGTCCCATCGCCATCTGTGTCCAGCTCTGGATGGGTCTGCAGCTCGGCCACCGAGACCCTGCAGGGACACAGGCAGGGTAAGGACCTGGCTCCCGGCCAGCTGCCCAACAGGACATGGGCACCACGTGACCCACGGGCTCCTCCGGGCCAGGGCCGCCCAGAGCCTCCCCAGGACCTCAGGTCAGGGGAGGAAGCCGGGGGTAACATGCGGCAATGGGACCCCCATCTGGCCCCCAGTCCCAGCCTCCCACCCTACCCGCTCCTTAGCACTTCGCAACCCCAAAAGGGGCACAAGGCAGAGATGGAGCCTGAGGACTGGGAGACGCCTGGATGCCATCACCAAAATCTTGTTTGCCGACCCCCAACTTCTACTCCCCCCTCCCTCACAGCCTAACACATCCGCTGCCCACTGCCTCCCCCCACCCAGCAAAGCCGATACCCACACCAGCCTGGGTGCCACATCCTGTACCCCAAACCAGCACCGACCAGTCCCTCTGCAGACCCCTACTCCTCGCCTGCTGGACTCCCGTGTCCTCGTCGGTCCCCAACAGCACACCCTCCACCCAGTCACTGGGCATGATCAGAGACAGAGCCAGGATTCTCACCGCAAACACGGGCCCCGCACAGCGACACTTACACCCCGTCCATGTTGTCATCCAGCTCCCGGAAGGCATCAGCCGCCTGCTCCTGCTCGCGCTGGGCCTTGACAGCGGCCTGCTGCTCTGTGGAGGAGCAACTCCATGACCCTTGGGCCCCAGGCGCCACCAGCTCCCGCCACCCGAGACCCGGCTCCCACTGTGCATCTGGCCCAGTGACGGCGCTGGGGACGAGGTGACAGGGGTCCCTGCCCTCTGAGAGGAGAAAGGTGATGGAGCCTGGAGGGGGAGTGGAACAGGGAAAGTCGGGGGCAGGGCTGGGGACGCAGGGGACAGGAGATGGAGGCCAGGGCTCGGGAAGGACGTCTCCTTTGTGCCTCAAGCGACACCCAGAATCCACATGCTCCTCCCCAGCCCCAGCCGGTCTGGACCAGCACACATAGCGCCTCATTTCCGGGCCCCCATCTGCCTGCCCCTGCCAGCCTGCTCCTGCACAGTGGCCGGAGGGGACTGGGGCCACCTCAGCCAAGGACTGTCCTGCTTCTGCTCAGAACCCTGCATGCTGCACACCTGCTTCCTCCCTGCAGTCTGAGGCCCTAACTGACCTGCCCCATCAGCACCCCACCCTTGTGTCCCCCCAATTCTCCGATTCATCACTCCAGCAACATGACACAGCTGCACCTTAGATATCAGACACGAAGCCAGCAGTGGTGGCGCACGCCTGTCATGTCAACACTCTAGGAGGCTGAGGCAGGAGGATTCCAAGTTCCAGTCCCACCTGGGTAATTTAGCCACTTAGTGAGAAATCCTGTCTCAAAATTTAAAAATGAAAAAGAGGGCTAGGGATGGAGCTTGGTAAAAAGGCTCGGGGTTCAAGGAGGAACCCAAGAAACACCACCGCTAAAACACCACCCAAGACTGGCAGCAGCCTGGGGTGGAACCTCCTGGGCCCAAGCTCTTCTCTCCTCTCCCTGGCTACCTTCCCACAGCCTCTGGTGCTGCTCCTTGGCCTCCTTCTCCGGCTTCTCAGCCTCTTCCTTCAAAGCCCGCAGGGCCTCCACCTGGTCTTCCAGAGACTTCTTTCCAGCCTGTAGCTCGGTGAGCTTTTTCTGGATGGGCAGAAGGCAAGAGGCCAGCTCTCCTTGGTTTCTGCCTCCTCCTCCACTTGGCACCTCCTGGCTCTACTCCCCTGAGGAGCTGCGACCTTTGCAACACATCCAGCTCTCTGGCTCTGGGGGTCCCCGGGCTGTGGCTCCCTGGACCCTCTGGACAGAAGCCTGTGTGCTCCAGGGTAGCGCAGAAAACCATGTGCAGTGCAGCACTGCTATTTTGAACCAAGGTCTTGCTAAGTGACCCAGGCTCTGCTCATACTTCTGCCCCCGGGACCACTCACCTGCTTCTCCTCCCGGGCCTTCTTCCAGTCCTCAACGAGGATCTTCTTCAGGCGGAACCCCTCGCGGGTGACCTCTGCCATCTGCTGCAGGGACTCTCTCTCTTTGAGGCCCTTCTCTCTGGGATGGAGGGGGACACATGGGCACTGCCAGGGGTACTCAGGGCCCACCTGCCGACCCACCCCTTACACCTCGGACTGGGAAAGATGAGATGGCAAAACCTCCAACGACCCCAGGCCCTTGTCCCTGTTTTTGAGAGGAGGGACAGGGTTTGTCCACCCTCAGAACCAAGGAGTGACAGGGAGCAGAGTTGGAAGCCAGCAAGAGAGAGAGGGAGAAAGCACAGAAATCACAGGCTTCCAGGCCAACAGGGAATCTGGCCACTTAGTGTATAACGCTTAATCTGCCCTCACTTAGAAGATCTAAGATGGAAAAAAATAAATCCAGGCGTTGTGGTGCACACCTGTCATCCCAGCACGTGAGGCTGAGGCAGGAGGACCTCAAGTTTGAACCCAGGCTGGGCAACTTTGTGAGACTTTGTCTCAAAACAAAAAACATGGGCCGGAGATTTAGCTCAGTGGTTCCGGCGCCTGCCTCACAAGCGCAAGGTCCCAAGTTCGATCCCCAGTACCAAAAAAAAACACAACAAAAAAAACACACAAAAGGACTAGGGGTATAGCTCAGTGCAAAGGTCCTGGGTTCAATCCCCAGTATCACACACACACACACACAAAGAAAAGCAGCAGAAAATGGAGCTTCGTAACTCATGGGGTGAAGGCAAGCCAGGTGCCGGAGTGGCAAGGGGAGAGGACGTCACCCACGCACTTGCAGGTGTTCTCGCAGACAGTGCCACTGTTGTACTCATCGGTCCCATCGCAGCAGTCTGAGGCAGAGGCAGCCAGGTCAGGGCTGACAGTGCCTCCTCCCTCAGCCACCACCCCTTCCCTAGTCCCAGGGCCCCCACTCACCACAGATGCCATCATTGACGCGGCTGGAGGGGATATACAGGGGCTTGTAGCCCGTGTTGGTGCAGTGGAAGTTGCCATTAGGACAGGCGGCTGTGCCTGGGTGGGGACAGGAGGGAAAGTTTGCTAAGGTCACTGAGGACCAGGCACAGCCCATCCTCCACCCACACGGCCCCAACCCACAGGCAGACAGAGGACCAGAAAGATGAGAATGCCAGGCATAGTAGTGTACACCTGTCACTCCAGCACTGGAGGGGCTGAGGCAGGAGGGTGGCCCCAAGTTTGCGGCCAACCTGGGCTATATAAGACCCAGTCTCAAAACGCCAAAGGACAGAAAAAACTCAGGGAAACAAAGAGCCTCACCCTGGGACCCTGAAACAAAACCCTCCTCATGAGTCCCTTCAAAAAAGGGCCAGTCAGCTCCTCCTTTGCTTTTTTTTCTTCTTCTTTTTTGGTACCTGGAATTGAACTCAGGCCCTTGAGGTAGCCAGGCAGACACTGCACCACTGAGCTACAACCCCAACCCAAGTACATTTGGGGCTCTTGTTCTGTTTTTTTTGGGGGGGGGGGTTGGTATTGGAAATTGAACTCAGGACCTTGTACTTGCCAGGCAGGTGTGGCTCCACTGAGCTAAGTCCCCAGCTCCTCCTTTGCTTTGATGACTGTCCTCTGCCAGCCTGCCCTACCTTCACACCCGCCCACTTGGGAGTCTGAGCAGACACCCCTCCATCTGCACCTACTTCAGGGTTCACCTGAAGTCTCACCTCCAGAAGCCTTTATCCCTGATCTGGTGGTAACTGGTAATGTCGTTACAACAACCTGATCTCTCTTCTTCTTTGTAGGGGAGGCGGTGCTGGGGATGGAACCAGGCCCTCATGCATGCTAAACAAATGGAGGACCACTGAGCTGCACCCCAGCAGCCAAGCTGCTTTCTTTCTTTCTTTTCTTTTTTTGCTACCGGGGATTGAACTCTGGTCCTTGAGCTTGCGCAGCAGGCGCGAAACCACTGAGCTAAATCCCCGGCCCCTAAGCTGCTTTCTGAATCCACTTCCGCCCTCTCCGCAGTGAGCCAGGGCAGGGCAGGGCCTGGGTGTCTGCTGCTCAGTAATGAACACAAAACGAGAGCTCACCCGGCTCATCTGAACCATCCTTGCAATCACAGTAGTCATCGTTGACTTGATCAAAAGGGATTGTGGCCGAGCCGTCCAGGCAGGTGAAAGGCTTGGATTTGTCATAGAAGTGATGGTCTGATGAGAAAGAAAACGTTGGTCTCCCCAATGCCACCACCAGTTTCACTCTGCGGACAAACTGAGGCAAAAGGCTCCCAATTTCCATCTCAGGGTCCTCTCTCCTCTCCCTCCCTCCATCCCCAGCCAGGGACCGCAGGACTCACTAGTGAGGGAGACGCCCCGGGGCCTCTTGACCTCCACGGACCAGCAGAGGGGCAGCATCAGCAGCATCAACAGCAACATCACTCGCGGGGCACCGGGCTATACACGAGCTCTGTGGGAGGAAGCAGGCTGCGGGGAGATTCGGGGATCCCCACACTACGACATGAGCAGGGGACCGAGGAGGGGACAGGGCCAGCTCCAATCAACTGGTCTCCTCCACCTTTTTAGGGCAATGATCGCTCACTTCGTTTCCGATTTAGGATCGGGAAACAGGGGTCCCCCAGTACTGGCCAGTGCAGGAAAGTCTCACTTTGCTCAAATCAATAGTGGGGAACTCAAAATCTTCTCTCGTCGCGCCGGAGTGGAGTGGACAAGTCAGTTCCCGCCTTAAGCCCAAAGGGTTCATAGTCTCTTCTACACCTCACATACACCCTTTAGCTGCCCCCTCTATGAAATTAAGGTGCCTTCCTACCCGCTAGCTCATCACCTACATGAGGCAGAGACAAAGGTCGATATCCACCGCACGCCCCCTTTGCCCAGTGGCCACGGTTCCTCCGGCAGAAAGAAAGCGGAAGTGTCTGGGATGCGTCATTTCCTTTTGCACGGCTCACACAGGGAACGGCGATTCTGTGTCGCCATGTTGAGAGTGGCAAATATGCGGATCCCGGAACTGAGACGGCCATCTTGGGTAGGACCGTGAAACCTTAGAGAGGATAGATCTGAAGAGTCGCGCTTAATGGCGGCGCAACTAACCTCCATCTTGAGAGTGGCGGCTTCCGCAGCCGGAAAAGAAACTTCTTGAAAAATGCCCGCGAACCTCACCCCCGGGAGCTGGGGCGAGAAAGGAAGTAGGATGAACACGTGACCTCGAAGTACCCTCCTTTACCATCTGCATCTGCAGCACAGCTCTGCCCCACCACCTGCTGGGACCGCCCCTTTGTACCGCGCTAGCCAATGAGAGTGGCACGCGGGTGGTCTCTATGGGAACACTGGAGGGAGGAGGGGGAGGTGGTTACTTACCAACCGGGAGATGCTGAGAGGCTCACCCAAGCAGTCGGAAAGTGCATTCTCAGAACCTGAGGAACCCGAACTGACCGATCCCAGACAGGGGCGGCCAGTTTTTCTCTGCTCCCCTAACTCCTAGGGACCTTTGGCCCCAACCGAATCATGACGTCTCTCCTATGCAGGGCGGCCTCTGCCAACGCCGTGCCTTCTCAAGATCAGGCTTTGATGCCCTCTTCCAAAGCCAAGGGCAGTAAGGCTCCGGCCAAGCAGGGCCACCCCCGAGGCAAGGGCTCGGTGGGGGCACAGGCCTGGGCCCCAGTCCATTCCAAGGCGGGACTCCGCCGCCACTGTCCAGTGAAGACCGCTGTGCACACACAGGTGGTTGAGTTACAAAGGAAGATCCAACTGCTGGGTAAGATGGCTCCAGAGGGCGCAGTGGGGTCAAGGGTCAACAGTGTGCACCCGGGCTTCTGACCAGGCACGGGGTGACCAAAGCCTTTCACTAGCATGCGTCTTAGTGGCCGGTTTCTGAAGTTAAAAAACTCATACTTTTTCATGGTTTCTTTCATCTTTCCTCAAACTTCTGAGCTCAAAACTGACTGGAATGTATTTCGTATTTCCCGTAATTCAACTCTTCTATCACGCAAATGGTGGTGAAAAGAATAGGTTCTAGAGCCAGGCTTTCTGAGTTCAAAACTTGCTCTGTGTAATAGTTTGACCTGGGGGAAACGAAGAATAAACTCATGGCTGTCAGTTTTTCAATCTATAAAATAGGGATGGTGAACTTAGAGGCTGAGGCAGGAAGATTGTAAGTTTGAGCCCACCCTGGGAAACTTTGTGAGATGTTAGCACAAAATAAAGGGGAGGGGGGGCTAGAGAGCTGGGTATGGTGGCACACGCCTGTAATCCCAGCACTCATGAGGCTGAGGCAGGAGGATTGAGGCCAGCCTAGTATACATAGTGAGTTCATGGCTAGATTGGGTTTGATAACATGACCCTTTCTCAAAAAATAAACAAACATGGGCCTGGGATTTAGCTCAGTGGCTCCGTTACCTGCCTCGCAAGCACAAGGACCCGAGTTCGATCCCCGGTACCAAATAAATAAATAAATAAACACACACAAAAATCAAAATTTTTAAAAAGTAAAAATAAAAAGGGCTGGGGTTGTGGCTGAGTACAAAGGCTTTTGTTTTGTTTTTTTGAGACAGGGTCTGTGTAGCACAGGCTGGCCTTGAACTCTCAGCAGTCTTGCTGCTTCAGCCGCCCGAGGGCTGAGATTACAGAGGTGTATCACCCTACCCGGCAAAGGCTTGGAGTTCAATCCCCAGTACTGAAGAAGGGAGAGGGAGGGGGGGGAGGGAGAGAGAGAGAGAGAGAGAGAGGGAGGAGCAACAATGGCACTGCAAAATTTGAAGTGGAGAAAGTAGTTAGAACAGGGCCACCTAGTAAAGTGCTATGAAGTAAAAACTAGTGTTTCTCATGGCTGTGGGCAGCTTTGCCCTTCTCGGGGCCACGTGACAATGGCTGCAGACATTTCTGGTTTTCACTCAATGAGGGGGTAGCTCTGCTACTGGCGTCTATTGAGCAGAGCTAGGGTGCTGGTCATAGTTCTACAAGGCCTGGGACAGCTCCCCACAACAAAGAGTTATCCCACCCCGTAGTTGGTTGTGGGGATGTTTGGGAAATTTTGGTGTATAAGTCATCAATGTTGTCATTCTTATTATTATTTTCTTTTGGATTTTTTTTTCTTTTTTTTTTTTGGTACCGGGGATCAAACTCAGGTCCTTGCGCTTTCGAGGCAGGCAGCAGAACCACTGAGCTAAATCCTCAGCCCTATTTTGGATTTTTGAGAGAGGATCTCACTATGTAGCTGAGGCTGGCCCCAAACTTGTGGCCACGCCTGGCTGTTTTTATTAATAGGCAGTGTTGCAGAGCTAATGAAAGTGTCTGCATAGGAGCAAGTCTGCTTGTGGCTTTGAACAATGTACTCAGTCTGACCCACAGTCTTCTCATCTGTAAAGTGGGTATCATTTGGTTGGGCATGGTGGTGCATGCCTATAATCCCAGCACTCGGGAGGCTGAGGCATGAGGATCGCTGTGAGTTTGAGGCCAGCCTGGACTACATAGTGAGTTCAAGGTCAGCCTGAACTGCATAGTGAGACTCTATCTCAAAATAATAAAAAAAAAAAGAATGAAATTGGGTTTCATTTGCAAATGGATATGCAATTATGGGCATATGGTATTGAGGGTTTGGAATGGTCTCATCCGCCATGGACACATAAATGCTCAAAAGGGAGGATTTTTGTTTTTTGTTGGTTTTGTTTTGTGGTACCGGGGATGGAACCCAGGGTTTCTTTCTTTCCTTTTTTTGGTACCAGGGATCGAACTCAGTACCTTGAGCTTACAAGGCAGGTGGGTTGCCACTGCTGAGCTTAATCCCTGGCCCTCCCAGTGTTTCATTCTTGCTAGGCAAATGCTCTACAACTGAGCCACACCCCAGCCCAATGGGTTTGCCTTTATTTATTATTATTATTTTTTTTTGGTACTGGGGATCGAATTCAGGTGCTTGGACTTGCAAGGCAGGCGGTAGAACCACTGAGCTAAATCCCCAGCCCTGGTTTGCTTTTAATTGACATGATAATTATAAAGAGCTTTGCCTGTGTGGTGGCACAGGCCTGTAATCCCAGCACTTACTCAGTTGGCTGAGGCAGGAGGATCGTCATGAGTTTGAGGCCACCCTGAGCTACACAGGGAGACCCTGTCTCACAAAAACAAAAACCTAATACCAATCAATTAAAATATGAAGCTGCTGAGTGCACAGAGGTCTTCTCTCTGGGAGGTGCCACACCTCCCCAGTGATGCCAGGCTTGTGTCTGTCCCCTTGCCTGCCCCAGAGGGTGACCGGAAGGCCTTCTACGAGAGCTCCCAGTGGAACATTAAGAAGAACCAGGAGACCATCAGGCAGCTCCGGGAGGAGACCAAGGCTCTCCAGGGGCAGCTGGCGGTCCTGCTACAGGTGAGCATGGAGGGACTGGCGGGACACTCAGGAACAGGAGTGGGGCCAGGGGTAACCGGGCACTTCTCCTCTCAGGGAGACAAGAACATGGTGCAGGCAGTAATTCAAGAGTGGAAGGAAGAGAAGCCGTACCTGAAGAACAGGATGGCCCAGGTTCGTCACCCCCTTCCCAAGACCTCCACCACTGGACTCCTTCCTTCCAACTCCCATTCTTTCTCTGCACTGGCTGTCAGTCATTTACTCGATCAATGAGATCTTTATTTATTGAATTCTTTTTTAGAGTTTGAGCTCAGACTGGGCAACATAGTGAGACACTATGTATCAAATAAAACAGATCAAATCCTCCTTCCAAGCAGCTCATATCTTAGAGGAGAAAATTGACCAAACAGTCCTCAAGAATTGTGGTCCCAGCTACTAAGAAGGCTGAGGCAGGAAAACCGCTTGTGCCCAGGAATTTGGGGCCAATCTGGCCAAATTAAAGGACCTATCTCCGACCCATCTCTTTAAAAAGCATTTAAAAAGGGCCTGGGATTTAGCTCAGTGGTTTAGTCACTTGCCTCGAAAGCGGAAGGACCCGAGTTTGATCCCTAGTACCAAAAAAAAAAAAATTAAAAAAAACATAAACAAAAAAGCCAGGCACAGTGGTACATGTTGATAATCCCAGCTACTCCAGAAGCTGAGGCAGGAGGATCGCAAGGTTGAGGCCAGCCTGGGCAACAGAGTAAGACACCATCTCAAAATAAAAAATAAATCTTTTTTTTTTTTTGGTACCGGGGATCGAACTCAGGTCCTTGTGCTTGCTTAGCGGGCAGGGAAACCACTGAGCTAAATCCCCAGCTAAAAAATAAATCTTACCGGGCACATACCTGTAATCGGAGCACTTTTGAAGGCTGAGGCAGGAGGGTTGAAAGCTCGAGTCCTACCTGGGCAGCTTAGTGAGACCTTGTTTCAAAATAAAAAATAAAAGGGGCTGAGGAGTTAGTTCAGTGACGGAACCTCACTGGGCTTGATCTCCAATACCACAAATGAATAAATAAAAGTAAAGATTATTGGGCTGTGACTCAGTGGTGGAGCACTTGCCTAGGATGTGTGAGGCCCTGGGTTCCATCCCAAGCACTGTAAAAACAAAAAGCCAAAAGCCATCCCAAGAACAGCAAATAAAGAAACAAAGGACTTCCCAGCAATGACAAGAGAAATAAAAACAAAAAAGCAAGGTGATATAATAGGAGGGATGGAGGACAGGAGCTGGCGCTTTAGATTGGGGGCAGGGTTTGCTATGACCTCTTCCAAAAGAGCTGATGTCTGAACTGAAAATCAGACAGGCAGGAAGGGTTCTGGGAAGAGTGCTCCCAACAGAGGGAAGAGCAAATGCAAAGGTTCTGAGACAGGCAAGCTTAAGACTGTTGGAGACCCAGATGCTGGCCAGTGTGGCTGGAGTAGACCAAGCAAGGGAGCTTGTCTATGTTGAACCCTGCCGCAGGCCTTGCTTCTGGTGTGCATTTTTTTTCTTTAAGGCCGTCTTGCTATGTAGTTCAGGCTGGCCTTGTACTCACTGTGTAGCCCAGGTTGGCTTTGAACTCAGAGATCCTCCTGCCTCAGCCTCCTACGTGCTCAGATTACAGGCGTGCACCACCATGCCCAGCCAGGTGCAGATTTTATACCAAGAAATAGTAATGCAAAATGAACTTCAAGGAGGCAAGAGGGAAGGCCAGGAAGAGGTCACCCAGCTAAAAGATGGTTTGATGGCCCCAGCACCACCAAAGTGGCAGAGGTTGAGGGAGAGAGGTATCTCCAGGGAGACCTGTGAGACAGATTCCAGAGAAACTGCTGACCAATGGAATGTGGGTCAGAGGAAAGCTGAGGATCACATGAAGGTTTGGGTTGCATTTATGTTCTGTGCTGGGAGTGGCACCCAGGGCCTCGTGCTTACTAAGCACACACTCTACCACTGAGCCCCACCATGTGAAGTTTTGGGCTGGAGTAACAGGAAGGATGGGGCTGTGGTGTGTTGTGATGGTAGAGTTGAGAGGAGCTGGTTTGGGAGATGAACAGGCACTCAATTTTGGATGTGATGGCTTTGAGGTGCCTGTGGAGACATCTGGAAGGAAGCGTGAATGTGACAGCCTGCAGTATAGCTGGGCGTGATGGTACATGCCTGAAATCCCAGCACTCTAGGAGGCTGAGGCAGGAGGATTGCAAGTTTGAGCCCAGCCTGGGTGACTTAGGGAGACCCTGTTGTCTTACAATAAAGAATAAAAGGCTAAAAAAAAAAAAAGAATAAAATGGCCTGGAGATGTAGCTCAGTGGGAAGACCCCATATGGAAACTGAGGGTCCAGCAGAGGAGATGGCAGGCTGCAGGTTGATGCTGAGTGGGAAGCTTTTGCTCTGTCCCACCCACAGCAGGCCCTGGAGCACCTGGACCACCAGCTGAGCGGGAAGGTGAAGCAGCTGAATGCCCTGCGACACCAGGTGGTGCTGCGACAGAGGCGGCTGGATGAGCTGCAGCTGCAGGAGGGCCTGCGCCAGCTGGAGATGGCCGAGGTGCAGGACAGCAACACCGAGATGGCCAAGGTGGGGCCGCGGGGCAGGGGGACCTGGGGATGGGCTGGGGGCCCAGGGTACTCACTCTGGCCCTGCCTCTCCAGACCATGCGGAACCTGGAGAACCGGCTGGAGAAGGCCCGCATGAAGGCAGAGGAGGCTGGGCACATCGCTGGTGTGTACCTGCAGCTCAAGGCCTATCTCCAGGTACCGGGAGAGGAGGCCTGGGAGGCGGAGGCCAGGCCACTGGGGCAGCAGTCACAGCCAGCCCACACCCCGCCCCAGGAGGAGGCCCTCGCTCTGGGGAACCAGCTGGACGCCATGGAGGCCACGGTGGCGAAGACTAAGCAGGAAGTGCAGGAACTGCACGTGGTGAACCAAGAGGCCCTCCATGCCCGGGACATTGCCAAGGTGCCAGGGTCGCCTGTCCTGGGAGTCCTGCCCAGTTGCCACATTTCCTGGCCCCAGAATCAGAACTCAGCTGCTCCTGAGCCTCTTGCTCTCTGTCTCCCAGCACCTTTCGGCCTGGTCTATCTGTGGAGGCCTGGGCTTGGGGGTGCGGCTCAGTGGTGAGCGCTTGTCTGGCATGCATGAGTCCCTGGGTACCATCGCCAGCACCGCAAAAAACACCCAAAAAAACCCCAAAACTGGGAGTGGCAGTGCACACCTGTGAATCCCTGCACTCAGGAGGCTGAAGCAGGAGGATGTCTGTGAGTTCAAGACCAGTCTGGCTACATAGTGAGTTCAAGGCTACCCTGAATTACCTAGCGAGACCCTGCTTCCAAAAAATAAATGAATAAAGACATCACGCTCCAGCTGTGTAGAGCTGCGCCCTCAGCTCCCCCTTCCCCCCACTGCCTGCCCTGCAGAACCAGCTGCAGTATCTGGAGGAGAAGGTGATCCGAGAGCGCAAGAAGCGGGAGCTGCACATATCTGACTGCAAGAAGCGCGCAGAGGAGAAAAAACTCCAGAACGAGTGCATGGAGCGCAAGGTGGGCACAACCAGGGGCGCAGGGCTTCAAGCCACCCGCAACCTGATCCGGCCTGGCCTGGGCCCAGCTACGCTCCCACTCAGCCCTCACCCTGCAGTGCTGGACCTTTTGTGGTCTGGGACCTTTCTCCTGGCCCCGCCCCCATGGCTCCGCCCCACTTTGCGGGGAGGGGTGCCTTCCCTCTTCCCTCCCACCTCTGACCCGGCCTCTGGGCCTCACTCCTGAAGCCCCGCCCCTGTCCTGACTCCGCCCCTCTGCCCCGGCGCTGACGCCTGCTCCTGCCCAGTCCTGCGGACCCACGCCTGGGTGCCCTCACCTGACCCCGGGCCTTGGCCCTGCTCCCACTCCCCTCCCCCACTCGTCCTCCGCGCCAAGCCCTTCTCCCAGCAGCTGAGCCTGGCTTTGCCCTCACCCCCTCTCCTGGGAGCAGACCCAGCGGGATCACCTGCTGCTGCAGTCGGAGGACACAATCCAAGACCACCAGCACGCCAAGGAGGAGGAGCTGCGGCAGCGCTGGAGCATGTACCAGATGGAGGTGACCTTCAGCAAGGTCAAGGACGCCACCGGCGCGGCTGAAACACACGTGAGCGCCACCCTCCGCCCCTAGACGCGCATAAGCTGGGCCCAGCATACCCTGCCTGCCCTTTCTGCCGGCTCAAGTCTGCAGCACACAACCCCACTCTCTTCTTGAAAGACATCCCTTACCCCTCCAGCTGGCGCCCAGTTTCTCTGCTGCACTTCTCAGCAAAGCCCAGGAGAGCTGTCTACACTTGACTGTCATCTCCTCTCCTTTCATACTTCATCTCTCTCTCTTTTTTTTTTTTTTTTTTGGTACCGGGGATTGAACTCGGGACCTTGCGCTTGCGATGCAGGTGGCAGAACCACTGGGCTAAATCCCCGGCCCTCTTACTTCATCTCTTTATTTTTGGGACAGGGTCTCGCTATGTAGCCCAGATTGACCTCGAACTCGCAGAGATCCTCCTGCCTCAGCCTCCTGAGTGCTAGGATGACAGACGTGTACCACCACGTCCGGCTTTGCACTTAACTTCTTTGGCAAAGGAGAACTGGGACTTTTGTCTGTCCTGTGTCCACAGCCCCGCTTGGAACATTGCTAACCCAACAGAATCTAGGTGGGGCCCCTGCTCTGGGTACTGGGTACCCTTACCCCTCCCCCAGGCTGATCTCCCAGCTGGGGTCTCCCCTTTGGGTTCTCTGCAGCCCCCACTCCTCCCTCAGGGTCGATGTCTAGGAGATCGGGACTCTGACCTACTGGGTCACCCAGCCACTGAAGTGCAGCCCCTACCCAGAAGGAGCCCGGCTGAGCCGATCGCTCCCCAGGCACATGGTATTTCCGTTGGCCAGACTCAGAAGTTACTGGCTGATTCCCTCCCCCATCCCTTACCGGGGATTCAACTCCGAACCTTGTGCTTGTGAGACAGGCGCCATGCCATTGAGCTAAATTGCCAGCCCCAGATTTCTTAACTATGGAGCAGGAAGGGCCCCGGAAAAACTATTGGTTAGGGGCTACACCACCTTGAGGCAGTCCTGAGGCCGAACCCGCATAGACTACGGAGGTCACTGCTGAGCAAAATCCACCGACTGTCATCTCAGCACTCTGGGAGGCTGAGGCAGGAGGATGACAAGACCAAGCCCAGCCGGCTCAACTTAGAGACTTAGTAAAACCCTATCTCAAAATAAAAAAGGGGTAGGGCCCCAGCTCAGTCCAAAGGCCCTGGGTTCAGTTCCTACACTTGATCTTAGCCAAAAGGCTGAGAAGCGATTCCTGGGTTCAGTTCCTAATGTTGCCAAATCACAACTAAACCAACTCCAGCTTAGGCCGCGTGTCCTGTGCCCGGGGCAGGCAGGCGGCCGCGCCTCCCAGGCCTGGCTCTGACCCGGGCTGGACCGCCCGCAGTCGGTGGTGCGAAGGTTCCTGGCCCAGGGCTACACCTTCGCGCAGCTGGAGGCCCTCAAGAAGGAGAACGAGCAGACGCTGGTGAAGCTCAAGGAGGAGAAGCAGCAGCTGCAGCGGGAGCTCGAAGACCTCAAATACTCCGGGGAGGCCACGCGGGTGAGGTGAGGCCGGGCTGCCCAGGGGGGGGGGGGGGCGGGTGAGGGGATGGAGGGGGCGCAGGCTCAGAAGCGCTCAAGTGGCGACTTCTCTGCTCCCTGCAGCCAACAGAAGCTGCAAGCAGAGTTGCAGGAGAGCCTCAAGATGGAGGAGCAGCGACGCACTAAGGCCCAGGAACAGCTAGACCGCACCACGCGAACCATGCAGGTGGTTAAGGAGAGCCTGGAGCATCTGGCCAGCAAGTTGAAAGTCGTCACTGTGGTACATCCGGCCCCCAGCATGGCCCCGCCCCTAGAGGGCCTCCCAGGGAGACACACCCACCGAGGCCCCGCCCAAGATGGACCCACCCCCAGTGAAGCTCCGCCCCATGCCCTCCCACATTCTCCAAGTAAAACTAGCAGTCATAGTGGAGGTTACTGTCCCTCACAACCCTAGGCAACCCACCCACATCTTCAGCACCCACCGCCAGAAACCCAGCCGGAAGTAGGATGCCCTCCGTACTCATCAGAGTCCCTGCCTCACATCCCTGGCGAAGCCCTCTCACTCCCAGAGAGGCCTGGACCTCAGAGACTTTGTCCTCTCCTAAGCCCCGTCCCCATGGGAAAGGCCCATCGTGCTCCACAGAAAACCCTGGGGACCCCACTCCAACCCGAAGGAGATGGCAGAAGCCCCATCTTGTCCTCAGGAGACTCACTTTTGCCCGGCATGGTAGCGCACGCCTGTCGACTCAGTACTCTGGGAGGCTAGGGCATTAGAGTCTCAAGTTCGAGCCTAGCCTGGGCAACTTAGGGAGACCCCCGTCTCAAAAGAGGACTGGGGATGTACTCAGGAGAAAGGCCCTGGGTTCAACTGGGTTCAGTCCCTAGTACCAAAAAAAAATCTTCAGAAGGCCATCCGCACAATAGCCTTGCTGGGGGGGGGTGTCCTTGCGCCTGGCTTGCACAGCAGGCGGCGGAACCACTGAGCTAAATCCCAGGCCCTCTTAACTTCTTGTTTGGTGTTCAAAGCTGGGCGTTTTATTTTAGCCACAAAGGGAGGCACCGCCTCATGGGTGGCCCTTCATTGCAAAGCCCCGCCCCACTGACCTGGCTCCTCCCCTAGCCGCAGGAGGACGACCCCTTCTCCGGAAAGGCGCTAGACCCCGCCGCAGGTGACTATTTGCCCAACCTGCTGGGCCTGGTGGAGAAGAAGCTGCTGAAACTGCAGGCCCAGCTCGAGAGCCACGACGTGCAGGAGATGCTGCGACACATCACCAGCCGGGAGGTGCCCCTGCCACCCCGAGCAGGGCAGAGGGGAGGGGGCAGCCCTGGGGGTCCAGGGTGTGGGCTGACAGCTGGGAAGGAGAAGCCAGGAGAGCTGCGGGCCTGTCCCCAGTGACCGGAGGTTGGGGCTGAGGGTTAGGCGTGGCCCCAGAGGAGCTGGACCTTAGAGGGTGTGCTGAGAAGGAAAATGGAGCGGGGCTGGAGAAATACTGCTTTCTACACAGGGCGTGGTGGCGAACAACGCCTGTAATCCCAGCACTAGGGAGGCTGAGGAAGGAGGATCGTGGTTTGAGGCTAGCCTGAATTACAGAGCGAGACCCTCCCTGTCTCAAAAACAAAAACAATTCTAGTGGCCAGTGGTCTCTGCCTGGGATCAGGGCACCTTTGGGGATGAGCCCCTGCCTGGCCCACTATTTCCCCGTTCCCTCTCCCCTCAGTTCCTGGTCACCTTAGAAGAAAAGCTGCCCCGGTACAACACTCGCATCCCCCTGCCCCCGGCCAGCTCCAAGGACAAGTTCTTCGGTCAGTGCCGGGCTTGGAAGGGAGGGAGGAGGTCCGTGCGCAGGCCCGGGCCCCAGGTGGAGCTGGGCGGGTTGGTGAAGGCCCGGGAGGGCGCCCCGGAGAACTGGATCAGTTCGGCTCCCCGCAGACGAAGAGGAGAGTGAGGAAGACGACGACGCGGTGAACCGGGCCTCCTTAAAGATGCGTTCCCAGAAACTCATCGAAACGCGCAGCAAGAAGCGAGGTCGTGAGCGGAGGACCTAGCCACGCGGTGCCCAGTCCTACCGTGCCCCCGAGCTCTCTGGGCCCAGCCAGGGCTCCACGGGGCCCCTTGAAGGGCTGGATGGGGCCCGGATGGGGAGCAGAGCAGGCCGGCCGGCCCGGAGGAGAGAGGGGGCCGGGCTGGATGTTCCCACAGTCAATTTCCCGAGCTGGGTCTGCAACCGCCGCAGAATCGTGCAATAAAGGTCGCCCACCGGCCTCCCTGGTGTCGGTGTCGCCTCTCTCTGGCCCTGCCCCACCCGAAGGAAAGCGGAAAGCCGAAAGCCGCTCCCACCCCCACCCCACCCCACAGCGCTCCCCTCCCCAGTGCCGTGCAGCCTGGGCGTTGTGCCCCCGCCCCGCCCCCGTCACTGGTGACCCAGCAGGGACCCCTTGCCCTGTCCCTGGCAGCACATCTGGGCCGGCAGCCCTTCCCACTGAAGACTGGGCACGCAGACCCGCTACACTCGGGGCTCCGGACTGGGCTCTCCCTCCCCGGGGACGGACCGGCTGGGCCCCGCCCCACCCCGCCCCCAGGCCCCAGCTCCCCTGTGCCCGCCGGCCCTTCCGCCTCACTCGGCAGCGCCGCCACGGAGGCCACGGGCGCGGGCCATGGAGCGCTCGGCGGGCAAGGAGTTGGCCCTGGTAAGCAGGTGGAGGATCCTAGCACCCGTGTCTCTGGTGACAGCCGGGCCCAGAGACTCAGGGCGCTGTCTCCACACAAATCGGGTCCATCCCCGGGGCCTCGGGGCAGTCCCTTGGCCCCGACCCAGGGAAGCGGCTGGTTCTTTTCTGGGATGGGGATGGGGGTGTCCTCTGGGTGCTTCCTAAGGAAAGACCAGAAATGGATCCGTGAGACTGGACCCCAGAGTGTCCCCAAATGCCGCTCATCCTTTCAAGAGCTGGGAAAAGGGCTCCTGTGCCTCCCTGTGGGACCTGGCCCTGACCGAGGGAAGTGTTTGGTTCCTTGTGGGGACTGGGGAACGGAGTAGGGGGGCCTCTGAGTGCCTTTGAAGGTGGGATCAGAAACATTCCGGCTGGGCGTGGTGGCGCATGCCTGCCATGTCAGCACTGGGGAAGCTGAGGCAGGAGGATCGCTTCGAGCTTGAGGGCTACAGAGTGAGACCCTGCCTGAAAGCCCCTCCAAAAAATTTAAAGAAAATGACAGATTGCATGAGACTGGCCCCTAGATGTCCCCCAGGTACCACCCCATGCTCTGAGGACGTGGGAGGGGGACTGGGGGACAGCGCGAAGGCTCAGCCCCGGTGCCCTAAGCCCGCCCCCATGCCCAGGCTCCGCTGCAGGACTGGGGCGAGGAGAGCGAGGACGGCGTGGTGTTCAGCGTGACTCTGCGGCGGCAGCAGCACAGCCTGCGCTCAGGCCCGGGGGAGGGGCCTGCGCGCAGCCAGGTGAGCGGCAGGGGGAGGGGGCGCGGGTGTCCAGATGCCCAGGTGAGGCGAGGCCCGAGAGCCCGGCTTGGGCCGCTGGGTGCGGTGGGGCTGGGAGCGAAGGCGGAGTTCGCAGGCCACCAGGTGAGGGGGACGTCTAGGAAATGGGATGGGACCAGGGGATGGGGGCTCCAGAGTGGACCAGGGGCCACTGGGAGAGGACGAAGCGGAAGGCCAGCGTGTAGGGAAGCCGGGGTTAGTGGGCCGGAGCCGGAAGTGGCCAGGTGAGGGGGGGGCGGCCAGGGCACGGCTGGTGGAGCTTGGGGGCGGCTTGGTGAGGGGGACGGAGGGCGGGGCGTAGGAGACAGATTGGGTGTCCAGAGCGCGTGACCCACATCCAGCGCTCTGGGAGGCTGAGGCCCGAGGACCTGGGCACCTTGGCAACTTAGCGAGACCCTGTCTCGGAATAGAATAAAAAGGGCTGGGGATGTTGCTCAGGGCAAAGGCCCAACCCTCACCCCCAGATAAGTTCTAGAGGGGGCATGGGGGTCGTTTACGGGCAAGTTAATAAATCCGGGGAGTGAGAGGGAACAGGCAAGCTCAGATGTAAAAGGAGGGCCAGCGCTGGGTGTGATCGGAAAGGGATGCTCCGGGGGCCCCTGGTCGCTCACCACCCCTCCCCCGCAGAGCCTGCCCCCCGCGGCCCACAGCTTCCTCCACTACCGCACCAGCAAGGTGCGGGCGCTCAGGGCTGCGCGGCTGGAGCGACTGGTCGGCGAGCTGGTGTACGGAGACCGCGAGCAGGATCCCGGCTTCGTGCCTGCTTTCCTGGCCACCCACCAGGCCTTCGCGCCCACCGCCCGTGTCCTGCGTTTCCTACTGCCGCCGCCGCCGCCGCCGCTGCCTCCAGGGTCAGCATCCACAGGGGCTGCGTCCCCAGCCCCAGATCCCCACCCGGGCTTGGGAACCGGGACGTGCTGCCCGCCCCAGCCCTCCCTCCGAAGCCACCTGATGGGGACCTCTTCCCAGGATACCGAGCAAGACCACAGGTGGCCCAGAGCTGAGCTTGAACGAGAATCTGAGGTCGGTCCCTGGGCGGCCTGGGGTGGGGAGTGGGGAGCCCTGGTCAATCAATGCTTGGCCTTCAGGCCTGGGGCTGGAGGGGTGGCGGATCCGGAAGTGGAAGATGGAACGGTGCGGATCTTGGGTTCCCATCTGAGGCCACCCCTCTGGCCAGCGCTGTGGTGTCCGTGCTGGGCTCCTGGCTCCGCGATCACCCCCAGGATTTCCGAGACCCCCCTGCCTACTCCGACCTGGGCAGTGTCCGAGTCTTTCTGGGCTGGGCTGCTCCAGAGGGTGCGGAGGCCCAGGAAGCAGAGAAGCTCTTGCAAGAGTTCTTGGAGGAGGCTGATAGAGAGCAAGAAGAGGAGCAGCCCGTGCTGTGGGCAGGTGAGAGGTTTGGGGCACTAGGTGCATTCTGGGAAGGCCTTTTCTGTATCATCCCTCGAACTCACAATCCTCCTGCCTCAGCCTCCCAAGTGCTGGGATGACAGGTACACACCACCACACTGGGCTTGAGCTAGGTTTTAAACTTTGTGTGAGCCTCAATTTCTTCACCTGTAAAATGGAGCTCTTTGTCCAGTGCTCTGGCTCCATGCAAAGACATCCGGCCTCTAGGCCAGTGATCTGGGTTCAAATCCCAGCTTGGCCCTCAGCTGACTGCATGACCATGGAGAAGTCTCTTCACTTCTATGAGCCTCAGTTTCCTTAACCACAACATGGAGGTGATATTGGTACTTACTACATGGGCCTCTAAATATCCTGCCACTAGCTCTGGCCATATAACAGCAGACTTGGGCTCGTAGTTCCCTTGAAAAGATTTTAGGTTCAGATAACAAACACTCAGGCATGGTGGCACATAGCTTTGATCCCAGCACTTAGGAGGCTGAGGCAGGAGGATTGCCAAGAGTTTGAGGCCAGCCTGGGCTATGTAGCTGGGATTACAGGTGTGCTCTGCCTTGCTCAGCTCATTGGTCCTTTACAGAAAATATTTGTGATCTCCAATAGAAAGAACTCATGGGGTAGGAACAAATGCCTACATATTTCACTCCAGTCTGGGGTGAAATGCTATCTCCACAGAGTGGCTTTCAATGACCTTCTCCCAACAAAATCCCTTCCCACCTGTGCCCTCATAGCCTGCCTCAGTTTCCCCCACCACACTCTGATACCCCTTCCTGGTTGATTCCTGGTGAGGAAGAGGAGGATCCTATTGGTGTCATCCCTGGCTCTGTCCCTGAGCAAGAACAGCAGGGTTTAGTTGAGTGGATAATTGCCTCCTGCTTAAAAGTATCAGCTTTCGCCCATCTGTGTTGGATCTGATCAGTATCACACAGCTCCTAGGTCCCTAATCCTAGCCCTCTAATCCTCAGATTAAAGTGGCTGCACTCCCCATGCTGCACAAAGTAGCACCCTCTTCTGTGGTCCTGGCCACAGACTCTTATCATTTATATAGTTTTGGTTCCTACCTGTGGTCCCCTCCTGGTTATGAAGTTATTTTTCATCCCTTGTCATCTAGGTTTTATCACTTGATTCTAAGTCATTGGAGCTATATGATCTAATGTGGTAGCTTTAGTCTGAGCAGCACATGGTGGCACATGGCTACCATCCAAGCACTCAGGAAGCTGAGGCAGGAGAATCACTGTGAGCTTGAGGCCAGCCTAGGCTACATAGGGAGACCCAGTCTCAAAAAACAACAGCAGGGCTGGGGATTTAGCTCAGTAGTTCTACAGCCTGCCTCCCAAGCACAAGGTCCTGAGTTTGATCCCTGATACAAAAAAAAAAAAAAAAAAAAAAAAAAAAAAAAAAAACAGAACAAAAAAAGCCAGCAGCAACAACAAAAACAAAGAAAAAAATCAGTGTGATTTTAAAGCATATCTGAGTCACATCACCTCACATTTACTAGGTACCTCTAACTGACAAGGAGTTTGGTGTGGTTTTTTTGAGACAAGGACTCCCTATGTAGTCCAGGCTGGCCTTAAACTCTCTGTGATCCTCCTACCTCAGCCTCCTGGGATTACAGGTGTGCACCACCACATCCAGCTTTTTTTTTTTTTTTGAAATAGGGCTTACTATGTTGCCTAGACTTGTCTCAAATTTATGGGTATAAGCCATCCTCTTGCCTCAGCCTCTAGAGTAGCTGGGACTGTAAGCGCATACCACAGCACTTGGTTTGACAAGGACTTTTATATGTAACCTTCATGTTCAAAAACATTTCCAGAAAAATCAGCAGTACTTAATATAGAAAAATACACAGTCTGCCAGACATGATGGCACATCCCTGTAATCCCAGCACTTAGGAGGCTGAGGCATGAGCATTGCTATGAGTTGGAGGCCAGCCTGGGCTACATAGTGAATTCAAGGCTATCCTGAGCTATACAGCAAGAGTCTCTCAAAAAAATATATTACTTTCAGATCTCCTCATTATCCCTAAATTATATTTTCTACAGTTGTTTTTTCAGGTTGGAATACCAATAAATTCCATTCAAGGAATTTCTTAGTTTTTCTTACTCTGTAACAGTGCTCTGCTCACCTCTTGGCTTGTTTGCTGTCCCTGGGAGGAAAGGTCATCTGCCCTCACATCTGTCTTCACTGACCTGTCTGCTTCTTCATGGTGTCCTGTGGCATGTTCTTCTATCCCTCATAGTTGCTCTAAGATCTTGATTAGTTGTAGTACATTTTCCTCTCAGTGCTCATTTATAAAAACTAATGTTTTCAGGATGGAGATGTAGTTTAGTGGCAGAACACTTGCCTACCATGCACAAGGCCCTGAGTTCCATCACCAGCACCACATGAAAACAGAAACAAAAAATTAAATTTTTTGATGATATCATGGATCAGTATCAGGGGTACTTTACTATTGAACTATGTAACAGTCCTTTCTGAATTTTATGTATGTATGTATGTATGTATTTATGTATGTATGTATTGAGACAGGGTGTCACTATGTACCTCAGGCTGTCCTTGAACTCATGGAGATCCTCCTGTCTCAGTCTTCTGAGTGCTAGGATTACTGGCATCCACCACCATGCCTGGCTTACTTATTTATAGATTTGATTTTGGGCGATATGGTCTCATTATGTAACCCAGACTGGCATCTAAATTATGATCTTCCTGCTTCAGCTTCTAAAGTGCTAGGATTATAGATATGCACTGCCACACCTGGTTTTATTTATTTATTGTTTTGGTACCGGGGATCAAATTTGGGAGCTTGTGCTTGGAGGCAGGCAGCAGAACCACTAAGCTAAATCCCCGGCCCCTGGCTTTTTTATTTTGAGACAGGGTCTCATTAAATTGCCCAGACTGACTTCACACTTGTGATCCTCCTCCTGCCTCAGTCTCCCATGTAGCTGGGATTTTGGATCTTTGCCACTGCACCTGATAACAAATTAATATTTTGTGAGACCATCTGTCCTAATTTGAATGAGAGATAATTAAACAGACTGACAAAGATAATCTTAAAATAACAATATTTTGCTAATAGGAAGGAGGAAAAATGAAAATCATTTATACAACAGCACCTAACCGGTGTCTGGGGACACTCATGATCTGTCTTGTCTCACTGGGGCACATGCTTGTAGGAGGGTCACAGTGAAGCTGACAGCCACAGGCACCAGCTGATGGCGGTGCAAAGACAAGAACAGGGATGTTGGCCACAGTGTTTTCCAAAGTGGTAAAATGACATTTGCAATTTCCAAACAAACCCAAGTCCAGACTTACATGGTCCTCCCATTCCTGAAGGCAGAATAATTTGTTTATGAGCAAAATAGTCAGATGTGAGGTGCAGATTATAGTAAATAGGTTCCATGGTACAGTGGTCAAGGGACATTTCCACCCTCACAAAATAGACCTCCCTTCCCTTAAGGCAAGAGACATGTTTCCTAAATGTCCTCCAGGCAGCACCACCAGTAAAACCCACTACGGGAAACCATTCCTGTTTATTGAACAGTTTTGTTTGTTGCGACAGGGTCTTACTGCGTAGTTCAGGCCTGCCTTGAACTCACTGTGATCCTCCTGCCTTAGCCTCCTGAATGTACTGGAATTACAGGCGTGCACCATCACGCCTAGCTTGATAGTTTATTTATTTACTTTTGCAGCACTCAGAATTGAACTGAACTACATCCCCCGGCACCCCCCGCTTTTCATTTATTTATTTATTTTTGAGATAACCTCTTGCCAAGTCGCTAAATATGAGCACATACTTGCGATCCTCCTGCCTCAGCATCCCACACTGCAAGGATTACAGGCATACGCCACACCATACCCGGGTCCAGTGTGAGATTTTTAACCCTGTCCAACCCTCAGGACCTCCCAGGGCGGCCCAGCCCCCCAGACCGGACTCCCCGGAAGAGGAGGAAGGTCCTGAGCTCCTGGACTTCAGCGTGGAAGAGGTGGCGGAGCAGCTGACCCTCTTGGACGCGGTGGGGACCCCGACGGTGGCAGGTTGGGGTGCTGTGGGTGGGGGCGCAGGTTACACTGAGATCCCATCCACCCCTCTCCCCCAGAAGCTCTTCTTGCGCGTGCGGACCTGCGAGTGCCTGGGCTCCGTGTGGTCACAGCGAGACCGGCAGGGGGCCTCAGGCGTCGCCCCCACTGTGCGCGCCACGGTGGCCCAGTTCAACGCGGTGACCGGCTGCGTGCTGGGCTCGGTGCTCGGGGCACCTGGGCTGGCAGCCCCGCAGAGGGCGCAGCGCATCGAGAAGTGGATTCGGATCGCGCAGGTAGCCATTGAGGGACGGGGCCAAGGAACCGCTCTGCCAATGAGAGTCCGCAATGGGAGGAGCCTGAGACAGCAGCAGGCGTGGGGGAGCTGCAGGGGGAGGGACTGAGATCTGGGAAGGGGGAGTGGATTTCTAGGGAAGAAGGAACGGGCTTCGCGCAAGCAATAGGGAGAGTCCCTCTGGCCTGGGTCAGGAATCACAGGATAGAGCCAGGCCTGTTGGCCCACGCCCGTCATCCCAGCACTGGGGAGGCTGAGGCAGGAGGATCGCTATGAGTTCGAGGCCAGCCTGGTCTACACAGGGAGTTCAAGGTCAGCCTGGACTACACAGCAAGATTCAGTTTCAAGAAAAAAAAAAGTCACAGGGTCTAAAGTGGCCGGTGCCTGGGTGTCAGACATGGGGTGTGACGAGCAACCCCGTGTCACCCCAGTGCTGCCGGGAGCTGCGGAACTTCTCTTCCCTGCGGGCCATCCTGTCCGCGCTACAGTCCAACCCCATCTACAGGCTTAAGCGCAGCTGGGGGGCCGTGAACCGGTGAGCCCGGGTGGGGGACAGTGAGGGCCACCTCATCCCAGCTCTGAGCCTGTCGGCCACCGGTCCCTGACCACCCTTCTCTTCTCCCCCCAGGGAACCACTATCCACTTTCAGGAAACTTTCACAGATTTTCTCCGACGAGAACAACCACCTCAATAGCAGAGAGATTCTTTCCCAGGTACAGGTGCACTGGGGAGCATTAAGCTGCCCAGGCTGGGCTCAGAACTTGTGATCCTCCTGTCTCAGCTTCCCAGAGTGCTGGGATTAAGGCCTGTGCCACCATGCCCATCTCTAGCAGTTTTATTGTCTCTGCTGTTTCCATGGTAATGCATACTCAGCCACAGCCTTATTTATGCATTCAACAAAATACAAGGAGTCACAAGGAAAAGGTTACTTCAGGCCGGAGGTACAGCCAAGTATTAAAAATTTTTTTCTTTCTTTGTTCTGGGAATTTACCTTGGCAAGCAAGATTTTAAAATGTGGGCCAACACATCTGATTTATTATAGCAAGAGATAGGTTCTAATTGCAATCAGGCCCATTCCTCGGGTGAATCCAGAGCAGATGGGGCATAGGAGGAGCCTGCTTCCTGTGCCTTCAGGATATGCAATTGACTTGTGCTCCTGTCACCTCAGTGTCCCCGCCTCTCATGGGCCCTGTCCTTTCCAAGCTACCCTTGTCTGTATTCTCGTCCTATTTTTCCCTTCCTTCCCCTCCCTCCCTTCCTTTCTCCCCCCCACTTCTTTCATTCCTTCTTTTTTTCTGGTTCCAGGGATCAAACTCAGGACCTTGTGCTTGCCAGGCAGGCACCGGCACCACTGAGCTAAATTCCCTGGCCCCTTACTTCTTTCTCTCCCTTTCTTTCTTTCTTTCTTTCTTTCTTTCTTTCTTTCTTTCTTTCTTTCTTTCTTTCATTTTCTTCCTTCCTTCCTTCTTTCCTAACGAGAGATTAATTCAGGACTTTCACATTGAGCTGCATCCCTAGTCCTTTTTTAAAATTTTAAGACAAGGTCTCAGTAAGTAGTTGCCCAGGCTCTGCTTGAACTTGCGATCCTCCTGCCTCAGCCTCCCAGAGTGCTGGGATGACAGGTGTGCACCACCATGCCTGGTTTGGCTTGTGATTGTTGGGAGCAAGATGAGGGTGTATGGTGGGTCTCAAAACACGGCTAGGAAGGGCCAAAGGAGACCCCAGGGCCGCTCAGTCCTTCCCTTCCCTCAGGAGGAGGCCACTGAGGGGTCCCAGAGGAGGACGGCCCCCCAGGATGCCTGCCCCCACTGAGTGCTGAGGTTGGGATGGGAGGCCAGGGGGGTGTGTTGGGTGACTGGGTCGGCGATGGCTGGAAGTGACCAGAGCTTCGGGGGCTGCAGAAACTGCCCTCAGGTCTCGTCCCCTACCTTGGCACCTTCCTCACCGACCTGGTTATGCTGGACACAGCGCTGCCGGATGTGTTGAAGGTGTGACCCCTGACCCCTGACCCTTGACCCCAGCCCTGAGCCCAGCAGGCCTCCTGGCCTCCACCTTGCTTCTGCCTCGCCCTTTGAACCCTAGTCCCTTAGTACAGCCCAGTCCTGGTACCCTAGCTCTTGGCCTTGAGCCAGGGGGTTCCAGTTCAGACAAACTTTGTCCCCAGGGGGATCTCATCAATTTTGAGAAGCGGAGGAAGGTGAGTGGGCACCAGAGTGGGCATGGGAGTCCCCGAGGGTGGGGATGGGACGGGGAGGGGTCTCAGAGGCCCCCCCCTCAGGAGTGGGAGATCCTGGCCCGAATCCAGCAGCTTCAGCGGCGTTGTCGGAGCTACAGCCTGTGCCCCCACCCACCCATCCTGGCCGCCCTGCAAGCCCAGCGCCAGCTCAGCGAGGAACAGAGGTGACCACCCTGGGTCCGGCCGCACCCCACCTTGCTGACCCCAGACCCCAGACCACACAACAGATCCACACCAGGCACCTGTCAAGCTCCTGCCAGAACCGCCCCCCTCTTCCCCCTGCACCCCCAAACCTGACCTTAGATTATGTAGTCCAGGCTGGTCTCCAACTCCTGGCCATCCTCCTGCCTCAGCCTCCTCAAGACTGGGATTACTGGCTACAGATATGTGCCACCACGCCGGACTCCTCCCTGACGTTCTGACTTCACCTGTGACATTCAACTCAACCCTACCAACTGTGCCCTTCCCCACTTTCTGATCCTATCTGACCAGTGATTGCCTTCGTGACGTCCCTCATCTAAATCAATCTCTCTCTGTCTCTCATTTTTTAATTTTTGTGGTACTGGGATGGAACCCAGGGCCTTCAAACTGAACTATGTCCCTGGTCCTTTTTTTTTTTTTTTTTTTTTTAATGTCCCTGGCCCTTTTAAAAAAAAATTTTCTTAAATTTTGAGACAGGGTCTCACTAAGTTGCCCAGTCTGGGCTTGAACTTGCAAAAGTGCTGGGATGACAGGTGTGTGTCCCCATGCCAGCCAGGCCTTGAACTTTAATCTTGCCCCTATTGGACTCCTTAGCTCCTCCAGGAGCCTATTGGCACCCTAACCTTGGCATTCGGGATCTGACTCCTGACTGATCTCACGCCCATCTCTTCCTCCCTCAATGCTTCCCTCCTGTCCCCTCGCCGGAACCCCTCAGCTACCGAGTCTCCCGTGTCATCGAACCCCCGGCCGCCTCCTGTCCCAGCTCCCCCAGCATCCGGCGCCGCATCAGTCTCACCAAGCGGCTCAGTGCGTGAGTGTCAGGGTGCAGGGGTAACGTGGGGGCGCTGCTCTTGAGCTCGTCTGACCCGAGCCGGCCCCATCCTTAGGAAGCTGTCCCGGGAGAAGAGCGCGCCCCCTGGTGGGAGTCCCGGGGAGCCCTCGTCGCCTACCTCCAGGTGAGCGTCCGGCCTGGGGCTAGGTCTGAAGAAAGCAGGGCCCATCCGGGCAACCGCCCCACCTTGGCTCTGCGCCTCCCCAGTCTGTCCCCAGGGTCGCCCCCCTCCAGTCCCAGAGCCAAGGACCCTCCTGCCGCTGGAAGTCCCCCTGCCTCTCCAGGGCTCCAGGGCCCCTGCACCAAGGTATCCAGGCTGCTTGTGTGTGGCTGCGGGAGCCCAGAACTCTGCGTGGGCACACATGCATGCGTGACACACAGGATGGCAGCTCAGGCAGGAGACAGCCGTCACCCACCAGGGTGGCTTCTCTCCGGTGGACCACAGGGCATTCTTGGACACTGTCATTTTTAAAACTTTATTTATTTATTTAGTGGTACCAGGGACGGAACCTAGAGCCTCTATACTGAGCTCCATCCCCAGCTCCTTTTTAAAAAATTTTATTTTGAAACAGAGTCTCACTAAGTCACTAAGGCTGAGCTCAAACTTGTGATCTTGCCTCAGCCTCCCAGAGCGCTAGGATAACAGGCCTATGCCACCATGCCCGGTGCAATCACTTACTTTTTTTTTTGGTACCGAGGATCGAACTCTGGACCTTCTGCTTGCCAGGCAGGCAGCGGCATCACTGAGCTAAATCCCGGGCCCTCCAGTCACTCACTTTTTCAGGGGCACTCATGTCCCCTAGGAATCTGCACTGAAGAGGAAACATGGGCCTGAACAGCCACAGGGCAGTGTGAGGGGTTTTCACGGACACTGGCTGTGACTGTACAAGCCGTGAGCATGTGTACAAGCTGTGTTCTGTGCAGCCAGGGTCTCTTGTGTTAGATGTCAGTTTGCGTGTACAGATGGGCCAGGTGTGTGTTTGTCTCTGTAACCAAAGCTGAGGTGTCCATGTGATCAGAAGGCCTAGATGGGGGGGTGGGGACTTAGCTCAGTGGTTCTGCGCCTGCCTCTAAAGCACACAGTCCTGAGTTCCATCTCCGGTAAAAAAAAAAAAAAGACATAGATGGGGGTCTCTGCGTGCCCCTGTACTGCATGTGCTGGGCTCTGGGTGTGGTTTTGTTTTCACAGGATTTTGAACACACCCGTGTGGTTAGACCCATATGATATGGGCGCAGTGGTGCATGCTGGTAATCCTAGCACTCTGGGAGGCTAAGGCAGGAGGACTGCAAATTCCAGCCCAGTCTGATCAATTTAGTGGCTAAGTGAGACCCTGTCTCAAAGTAAAAAATAAAAAGGGCTGGGGGTGTAGCTCAGTGCAGAGGCCCTGAGTTCCACCTCCAGCAGCACCAAAAAATGGGAAGTGGGGCCTGTGGTCCCCATTCCTCAGCACCTGTGGCCTGCACAGCTGCCCCTGAGCCTGGACCTGCCCGGCTCCCAGGCCCCAGCATTGCCCCCAAGCAGCCCACGAGTCCCCCTCGGGCAGCAGAGCTCAGAGGCCCGAGTCATCCGCGTGAGCATCGACAATGATCATGGGAACCTGTACCGGAGCATCTTGGTGAGGGGCTGGGGCAGCTAGGGGAGCCCTGCCCTTGGGACTGGATGCACCTCACCTCCCAACCTCTCTCAGCTCTCCAGCCAGGACAAAGCTCCGGGTGTGATCCAGCGCGCCTTGGAGAAGCACCATGTGCCCCAGCCTCAGGGTTGTGCCTACCAGCTCTTCCAGGTCCTCCCTGGGGACAGGGGTGAGTGGGGATGGCTTAGCACCAGACTGGGGGGCCAGCAGGGAGGGCACAGTCTGTCCAGGTCAAGGAAGCAGCCCAGTGTTACCTGGGCCCAGGCCTGGCAGGTGCCTCCCACACAGACTTCTAGATAAGAAGGGGGGCCAGGGCACAAGGGGTAAGAATGTGGGGTCACCTGGTTGTCCTCATAGTATAATTCACTGTGAGGACGAGGGGGCACCAAAGGGCATCTTCCTGGGGTTTGTGGAATGGTGAGATTGTCTAGGAACAGGTGAGAGAAGAATCAGGTGTAGTGGTGGATGCCAGCACTTTAGGAGGCTGAGGCAGGAGAATTCCAAGTTTGAGGCCAGCCCAGGCAATTTAGCAAAATAAAATAAAATACAAAGGGCTGAGGATGTAGGTCAGTGGTACAGTGCTTGTCTACTATGTGCAAGGCCCTGGGTTTGAGCACCAGCACCACAAAAAGAAAAAAAAAAGGAAAAGAGAAATGAAAGAAAAGAGAATAGAAAATTGCCTGATCTTCCATTTTTAAAGTCATGAGGTTGTTCAGGCTCAGCCTGGTGTGGTGGGAGACAGAAGGGAGTCGGGACTCAGATTTGAGGGAAATGAGTTTGTCCAGGCTCACCATGGGGACTCCCTGAGCTTGGGGTGGGAGGGGCCACAGGGTCTTGCACTCGGGGTCAGGGAGCCCAAGAGATGGTCCTGTGAAAAGGCAGCTGAGAGGTTCTCTGGTCTTGGACGGGGAGAGGCCAGAGGTTGTCTTTATGCTGAGTGGCATGGGGTGAGGTTAGCTGCACACTGGGAAAAACATACATGAGCTTACGTGGGCATGATGGCGCCCCCAGCACCTGGGAGGCTGAGGCAGGAGGATTGCTGCAAGTTCGAGGCCTGCCTGGGCTATATAGTGAGTTCAGGCGGGCTATGTATCTTGTTCAGTGTTGATGTGAAAGCCCCAAGGCTGTGAAGGCAGGAAGTTATCCAAGTTCATGAAGTCCGCCGGGGGTGGTCTGGAGGAGAGTGGGGTGTGTCAGCAGTTATTTGGGGTGGGGGGCTTCAGTTTGTTCACCACAGCGAGGGGCGCAGACTCTGTGACGGGAATGGTAAGAGATCACTCAAATCTTTGGGTGGGGGGTGCAGGATGTGGTGCAGGCTTCTGCTGGAAGTTGTTCCCCTCAACAGGGACAGGAGCATGAAGTCTGCCTCAGCAGTAGCTGGAGGGACCCCGAGCCATTGAGGCCCGAGGGTGCGTGGTAAAAGGTTGCCTGGGCCCTCTGTGGAGGAGACACTTGTGTGGGCCTAACCACTAATGTCTCGTCTCCACTTCTGACCAGAGCTCCTGATTCCAGACAACGCCAACGTCTTCTATGCAATGAGTCCGGCCGCCCCTGGAGACTTCGTGCTACGGCGGAAGGACAGGGCTCGGTCTGTGGCCTTTGTCTCCCCAACCTGAGGGAGCCCTGTCCTGCCTCGAGCCCAGAGCCCCGTGGCTTCTGTCACCTTGGTGGGGAGCCCCCCAGGGGAGGCCACTGTACGCTGTGCTGTGTGACCCCCGCCCCAGTTTAGCCCATTGGACGCCCTCCTTCTGATGTCCTGGGCGCAGGATCTCCCTTTCAAAGACATCAGCCCACACAGTGTGGCTACCATGACAACAAAAATGAAAAGCAAACTAAGAGCTCTTAGAAAGGGATTAAAGCCAGGGATTTAGCTCGGTGGTGCCTTGCTTCCCTGGCAAGTGCAAGGTCCTGAGTTCGATCCCCGATACAGAAAGGGATTGAAGCCTGGTACCGTGGTGCACGCTTGCGATCTCAGCACTCAGGAGGTTGAGACAGGAGGATCCCAGAGTTCAAGGCCTACAAAGCAAGACCCTGTCTCAAAAAACAAAAAAACAACAGAAAAGGACTGAATGAATCATGATGGATACCAGAAGACCTCATCATACACAGAGGGGCCAGGGTCCTCCCCGCTCAAGTTTCTCAGGGTGATTTTTTTTGTCTGCCATGCATATAGGAGGAAATTGAAAATTGGATCAAAGACAAATAACTCCAGCACTTAGGAATCAGTAAGGTCAGAAAGGAGAAAAAGGGTTGATCCAACAACCGCCCCTGGGGTAGGAAGAACAAACAGCTCAAGGCGCTGTACATATGTGCACCAAGTCCCCTCGATGAGAGTATTTATTATGCATCACAAACATATACCGATTTTAAAAAGGGAAAAGGTGGAGAAAGTGGGACCCGGTGACCAGGGTGACAGCTACAAAGACAGCGACACCAGCTTGGCCATGTATGGCTCCTGTCTGAACTGGACACTGACAGGGGGCTCCATAGCTCCCTGTATTTATCAGGGTTCTTTGTTTCCAGCGGTCAAAATCCCATTCCAACAGGTGCCTGCCCAAAAGGAAAGGGAGGCTCCCATAGTTGAAAAATACAATGGATCCAGCATCAGGTGCCGTTGGATCTATGGACCCAACAGATCTTATTGGGGGTTTTGTTGCTATCTCTTGGCTCTGATTTGCTCTGAGACTGAGGCTGTCCATTGTCCTCCTCAAATCCAGTCACCTTCTATGGTAATGGAGTTACTGACTTTTCACTCCCTACTCAAAGTAGAAGCCCCATTTCAAAGATCTAAATTTTTTTTTTTTTTTTTTTTTTTAGTACCAAGGATCAAACTCGGATCCTTACACTTGCGGGGCAGGTGACAGAACCATTGAGTTAAATTCCTGGCCCAAAGCCCCACTTCCTAACTGCTGTGCAGCAAGACTAAGAGTTGGTCAGCAAGATATGGAAGGAAGAAAGAGATGCCAGGGCCTGCCCTCAGAGGGACAAGCTGCGTGTCCTCCACTTCATCCCTTTCTGCTTTTGGCTGCTTGGAATGAAGATGAGGAATGGGTTGTCTTGGGTTGGGTGGTTCACATCCTCTGATTAACTGAGCAGCAAGCGGGAAGGAACCTGGGGCTCTGAAACCATGGAGCTGCTGTATTGGCTTCCTTCTACCTGGAGTGTTACCCAAGAGAGAAATAAATTCCATCTCACTGAAGCCACTATTACTTGGTTCTGTGTGACAGTAGCAAAATCAACTTTGAGAAAGGACCTTGCTGTGTATCCCAGGCTGTCCTCAAACTTGAGATCCTCCTATCTCACCCTTCAAAGTGCTGGGATTAACAGACTTGTGCTACCACATATAGTTCAAAATGATTTTTTTTTTTTTAGTACCAGGGATTGAACTCAGGACCTTGCGCCTTCGAGGCAGGTGGCAGAACTGCTGAGCTAAATCCCAGGCCCTAAAATGATATTTTAATTTATACAGCCCCCACCTCATGGGGCTATAGTGCCAGACTTACATCCCAGCCCCTCCACCCTCTCATACAAACAGCCCCTCCTGATCATCTCCTGAAGATTCCCATTGGACAAGCTAGGATCATGTGTCCATCCCAGAACCAATCATTGTGTTTGGAAGAACATAAAATGCAGATTGGGGCTGGCAAACTTTGCACAGGGGTGGGGTTATCACGGAACATGTTCCCATTGGGTGAGCTTGGGTCACGTGTCCATCACAGACCCAGTCATTTTGTTTGGAGGAATTAATATGCAGATTGGGGCCCCGTGCTTTCCCTTGCCAAACAAACTTCACATCACAGAGGTGTAGGGTCTAGGAATGAAGTTCCTAACAATACCGTGTCTCAACAGCAAAGAAACCCCAACAAAATGTGCTTTTACTGGGAGGGGGAAACTTGACTATATGCAATATATATATTTTTTTTCTAAACTTTATCTGTGGAAAAATAATGGGATATGCTCAGGCACTATCTGGTATAGAAGAGACAGAAGAATGAAAGCTATGCATATGAAGACCATTTGGACTTAACTGCATTCTATTAGAAGTAGCCCAAGCAAGTTCAATAATTGCATTCCCACAGAGCACTGTGTGCCAGTTTTATTCGGAGAACTTGATTTAATCAATCTTGCCCCTCCCCACCTCCCCACTTGAGTTAAACCCAGGAAGCACTGAGCTCCATCCCCAGCCCTTTTTGTTCTTTTACTATGAGACAAGGTCTTGCTAAATTGCCCAGGCTTGGCTTGAATGTATGATCCTCCTGCTTCAGTCTCCTGAGTAGCTGGGGTGACAGGCTGGTGCTGCTGTGGTTGTCTTAATCTGTCTCATTTAGCTTTTGCTATAGTCCTGTGGAGCGAATGCTATTGTTATCCCTGTTTTTCCCGTGAAGTGAGACTATTGAGGCTAAATTCTTGGTTACCCAAGTTCTGGCTGGTGTTCAAACGTGGGTACTATAACTCCAGAACATGTGCACTTAGCCATAAGGCTAAATTTGACTCACAATTACTTTCTCCCTGTCTCTTTTTCTTTTTCTTTTTTTTTTTTTTTTGGTACCAGGGATCAAACTCAGGACCTTGTGCTTGCAAGGCAGGCGTGGTGCCACTGAGCTAAATCCCCGGCCCATCTCTGTCTTTGTTTCTGTATCTCAATGCCAATTTCCTGAGGAAGAAATTCTTATTGACTTCTGTTTATTATTACTTTTTTTTTTACATTTTATTTTTTGTTGTTGTTGGTATTATTTTTTGCAGTACTGGGGATTGAACTCAGTACCTTGTGCTTGTAAGGCAGGTGCTGTGCCATTGAGCTAAATCCCCAGCCCTACTTCTGCTTATTATTTATTTGTTTGTTTGTTTGTTTTTGCTGTTTTTGAGACAGGGTCTGGCTATGTAGCCCAGGCTGGCCTCAAACTTGCCGCAATCCTCCTGCCTTTGGAATGTTGGGAGTTCAAGCATGCGTGACCACACTTGATGCCGAAAAAAAATTTTTTCCATTTAGTTTATTGGTACATTTTAGGTATACAATACAGTTACATTCATCATTGGGATCTTGTACCTTTACATGATGTATCTTGGTTCTTATTTTTACCCCATTCCCCTGCCCTCCCTTCACCCCCTCCACCCCTCCCTATTTACAAAGACTTTGTTTCCATGTTTTTCCTTTTCTCATATTTTTTCTTTTTCCTTCTTTCCTTTCCCCTTCCCCTCCTACTTCCCCTATTCCTTTAAACATTTTCTTCCTATTTCACAATATCAATTATACATTTTGATTCTTATTTACATTTTTAGTTTTTCACACCAGAGAAACTATTCGGTATTTACACATGTGTGTCCTATTTATTTCACTTCAGAGTATTGCCTCAATGTGCATCCACTTAGCTATAAATGTCTCTAGTTTCTCATTCTTTATGGCTGAGTAGTACTCCATTTTATAAAAAAACCCACATCTTCTTTATCCAGTCTCTAGTTGATGGGCAATTGGGTTGTTTCCAAGCTTTGGCTATTACAAACTGTGCTGCTATAAACATGGGTGCACATATATCACTGTGGTATGATTCTCTTAATTCTTTTGGGAAGATATTCAGTAGAGGAATAGCTGGGTGGAATGGGACTTCCAGTCCTAGTTGTTTGAGGTAGCTCCACATTGATTTCCACAGTGGTTGCACCAGTCTGCACTCCCACCAACAATGAGGAGGGGTTCCTTTCTCCCCACAACCCTGCCAGCATTTGTTATTGGTTGATTTCTTGATAGCAGCCATTCTTTCTAGGATGAGGTGGAATCTCAGTGTTGTTTTCATCTATTGCCGAAAATTTTTAAAAAGGGGCTGTAGCTGAAGCTCACTGGGCAGGACCTGAGTTCAATACCACACCCCCAAGAAAAAAATCAGGTGACAAAAAGCACAGTAGCTGTGAAAAAGAAAAAGGATGCCAGGAGCTGGGGATTTAGCTCAGTGGTTTTGCCGCCTGCTGCACAAGTGCAAGGACCCGAGTTCGATCCCCAGTACCGAAAAAAGAAAAAGGATGCCAGGGTGTGGTGATGCACACCTATAATCTCAGTGCTCAGGAGGTTGAGGCAGGAAGATCAAGAGTTTGAGGCCAGTTTGGGCTACATAGTGAGTTCAAGGCCAGCCAGAACTGCTTAGTAAGACTGTCTCAAAAAACAAAAAAAGAGAAAGTCTCAGGCTGGGTAGGCCACAGTGGCACACACCTGTAACCTCAGCCCTTGGGAAACTGAGGCAGCAGGATCATGAGTCTGACAGGAGCCTGAGCTACATAGTGAATTCAAGGCCAGCCTGAACTATACAGTGCAGTGGTGGTGAACCTATGACATGTGGTGAAGGGGCTATTTGTGTCATTGAAAGCTCTAAAAATTTCACCGTCACTGATATAGTGAGACCCTATCTAAAAATAAAAAAAAGTCTCATGATAGAAGTTCATTGGCTCCTTTGGGTCCCATGTACACCATGAACCAATCACTGTGTGCAAGGAAATGCCGTGCTCTGATTGGCTAGTCTGTGGCATGCGAGAGAGCAGAGTAACTACCCTCTAAGGCAGGTGGTGTGTACACCAGTTTAAAAAGCTCTGGACTAGAGAATCACTTTTAATTTTTATTTTCTTTCTCTTTTTTTTCTTTTTTTTTTTTTTTTGGTACCGGGGATAGA